CTTGCCCAAACAATTTGGCAAGTTTATGCCACGGTAATTAGTACAACGTTGCTTGCTTCCTTTTCACTTGTACAGTCGTAGCACAAGACCATCCTTCAGCTCAGGAGGCACCTCCTCCTCAATCCACATGTGATGCAGCAACTGGTACAACACATACACCAAAGCTGGTCCGCCATATTTCAATATCTCAGGAGGGATCCCGTCGACACCAGCACACTTATCGTTTCACAGTTGAGCAAGTGCTCTCTGCGTCTCATCCACTATCGGAGTGTGCGTCAGACTGATCTTCACCTCGTACTGCTTCAGGTCGTTCAATGTAGGCCAGTCGATCTCTGAGCGGTTATTCAAGAGACAGTCAAAGTGTTTCCGCCAGACCTGCATTATGTCTGCAGTCTGGGTGCAGGTAGCGCCTGAACTACCATCGATCAGTGTCGTCAGCGGCTCCAATCTCGGTCCATACACCGCCTTCAATGAGTCAAAGAATTCCTTGTGTTGGCGTCGTTCCGCGTAGCATTCCATCTACTTCGCCTTCTCTATCCACCATGCATTTTTAATGCGACGGAGGGCACGGATCAGTCGCCGTCGAAGTTTGCGAAACTGACTACTCTTCCCCAAGTCGCTGGAGTCTCTCACATGTGCAGCAAATGCTGCATTCTTCTCCGACACCAATGCGCCCATCGTCGCATTGTTGTCATCAAACCAATCAGGCCGCTTACAGTTTGCACGCTCGATGGTCTCCTCGGCGGCAGCTGTCACCTGGTCTCGAATGTGATGCCACAGGACGCCCACTGTGGCTATGCACTCCCCAACACACAGGCGTACAGCCATCACCTTCTCCAGCTCAATAGGTTTCGCCACAGTACCGAGGGAGAGAATGTTAAATTTACGCCGATTCACGGCGGGAGTGCAATACATAGACTTACGAAAATATTTGTACAGTTTGGTCTGCACCAAGTTGTGATCAGTACCGCACTCAGCTCCACACATTACACGTATCATTTACACTTCACATATAGCACGCTGACGTACGATGCCATAGTAGAGCAGGTGAGCGCGACCATACCTTGGGTGCGTCCAAGTTGCTATATCACTCGCGCTCATTTCAAACCGAGTGTTCGTGCTCGCCAGGCTGTGAGTGGCACACAGTGAGAGTAGCCTGTCACTATTCGTATTCGCTGAACCAATGCCATACGGACCGATGACATCTGCCCACACCGCAGCATCACGCCCAACGCGCGTTGAAATCACCCAGCAGAAGTAGGCGGTCGCTCCTAGGCACAGACCGTATCACGGAGGATAGCTGAGTGTAGAATTGACCTTGCGTGTCATCAGGATAACACACGCGCTTATAAAAGTGGCAAACATAGTTACTATGTATGGTTTTATTCAAGCCTGCAGTGGAATGTTAAAAAAGGCACAATGCATATCCGGTGGGCACGGTGATGATGGTGCAAGCTCAGCAGTGGGTTCACCACCTGTCCTGATATTCTATAGTCAACCGCCTCGGCATGTGAGTCCCAAGTGCACGGGGCTTTTGCGCCCACATGGTTTTTTAATCAACCTATGTGAATGCCACTGGAAGTCCCAAAAGAAAATCTGATCCAGATGGAAGTTCGTCGTAGGTGGACTGTTCCCGAGTCTATGATCCTATAATTCACAGGTTCAGTAACGTTCGTGCTGTAGGTAAGTTTGATATGAGGAGGGGCTTGATGAAGCTGTGGAGCCGCTTTTTTAGGTTTAACACTGTACTCACGAATCGATGGAAGTCATTGCACGGGAAGGATGAAAGTATATCACACTTCAGAAAACCAATGTAAGTAGATTAACACAGCCACCTGCGCTTTTTACCCAGTAATAACCCTCATGTACGTATTCCATCTTCTCATTCTTATTCATTGCTTCCCAGACGTGACCTGGTGAAATCCTCTATATTCAGCTGAGGTTGTAAGTGAATGGATTTCAACCAGACTTCTTCCACTAAAAACGGATGTCATATTAGCTAAACTAAGACAAGTATTATTCGTCATGTCTGTCGTCGCTCCGGAAATGAATGTATATGTACAACTGCTGTTGCATGCCACTGGGGCGTGGCTTTTTGTTTGTCACCGCTTCGAACACAGTGTTTCCGGGTTAGAGAGTCATTGAGCTTTTAACTTTCCCTTTGTTTCTTAGAACGATTTGTATCACAAAGCCTACGCTTTGCTTTATATGATCATGCACACCGCATAGTTAGCAGTTACCTCTTGTAATGAAAGTAAATCCCACCACGTAGCAGTAATCTTAACCGACTTTCATAAAGCATCCACAGATGTACTAGTGATTGCATTTCACTGTATTTTGACTGCCCATACACCACCAGCAACTTTTTGACTTGAACACGCCAATTTCCTCATGTAAAATTCCAACTGAAGGATGACTATCAAAACAGAAATATCTTACACACATTTGTCAGGAGTCTTTGAAATAGGTTTCATGGGTTAAAATGCAGTTGAATCGAGAAACCAGTAACTTTCCTGTCTGTATTATGATATGTGTGGAAAACGATAGGCAGTAGTGGTGGTGTCTGAATGAAATGCATCGTATTTTAACCGTGAGATTGTGGTATAACCCAATGCATAGCACTGGATAACCAAGTCATCCTGCTAAACTATCCCACATTGTAAATTCTTTCTCTCCTGCAACTGGACGAAGCAATCTTTGTAGTAGAAGAAAGCCCTGAGTTCGTAAGCAAGGGGAGTCGGAGTCTCATCCATTATCCGGAGTGTAGTGCAGTCATTGTTTATGAACGGCCAGATTGGCGGCCACGGTGGTTCCCACGGTTTGTTTTTTTGGCACTTAGTTAAGATTGAACAGTCGCATGTATTTCAGAAGGTATGACTAAGTTTATCGAAGCAGTCTCATGGGATACGTCGTGGCCAAATTCAATCAGACAAATCACACCACTGAGTACCCTATGGATTTTGGAAATGAGCACATCTATCGTATCTACTTAGAACGAAACTGCCGTCCAGTGCTTTCCTACCTGAGTTCGGTCACGACGATTCTCTTCAATCTACTATAGAATTCGTCCTACTAATTTCTAACATCAGAATCAAAAGACAGTTAGGTGAACAAGCTTGTTTTCGGTGGTTCGCATCAGGCCAACACACCACAGATGATAGGAATAAATAAAACACAGTGTACTTAAATACGATGAATCCATGAAGTGCATTGACCAGTTAATGCCGTCAAGTGACCACACTGGCTTGGGCATTATTAGTGGACGGGTCAAGCGTGGTGTCGTAACATGGGGAAGCTTGAGGCCATGGCAGCTGTAGAGCCTGTACAAACTTCTTTTGGGCACATAATTCGGGATTATGGAGCCGAATAGCGATTGCTTCCGCTGTCGCCAATAGGCGACATCGGAGGGCTCGCGTGTGGCGTCCAGATATCTTGTAGATAGGCCGAAAGGCCTCTCGCACATTCACTTGGTGATTTGTGTAGGCCAAATGCCCCAGCACCGCGCTGACTACTGTCTTTCTGACACCAGTGTAGAGCCAAGCCGGGCAATGTTCTCGTACGAGAACACGCGAAAATGCGTGCTGGTGGTACGAAACGGTAGTCCATTATATTCCTAGACCTGTGCTGGCTGTGTGCCTGAATTTGGTTGCAACGATTCTTTACAAAATACATTTGTATTTGTTCTCGAGATCTTTGCTACATCCTTTAGAAGGTGATAATTCATGCAGTCAGGATGGTATTATCCCAATTGGTTCACGCAAGTGGTTTTCATGTCGGTGTCTATTAATCTCAGTAAGTGACCCATGTGCCTCTTCCTGGACGCTATCTATACAATGACAACTTAATTACCAGCAAAACGGGTACCAGCCAATGGTGAGTTTTTGTGATAGAGGTGCATTACGCCGTTCATCTAAACAGTGACATGCGTGTGGTTCTTTCAGACCATTGCTCGCCCCGACTGTTAGCTCCAAGTAGCGGCTAGTTCGATACACTGATCAGTGGTGATCTGCTTTACTGAGTTATTCCTCAGCGAACGCGACTGATTATGTCACACGTCGGTATTGGCAAACCACACATCAACTAGAGGATACAATTCAGCTTAAAATATTATTTTTATTTTTATTGTTATTATTCAACACTTGACCAATATACAACTGTCGGTACGACAACACATGACTAACAACAACAAAAAGTGGAAAACCGGGAGTCGGTGGAAGGGTTAAGAGGGTATAGAAGGTTTATGTGTTGTATGGGCAGAGATATTCTCGGTTGCCCAGGCCGAGGAAGAGGGTTGACTTAAGGGGCCCACCCCGAGCCTTTAGTCATAAAGACCCGACCCGCAAAGCAGCGGGGCGATTCACGTAGACAGCTGACAGCCGGGTGGCTCATTCGCCTACTTAGTGTCCGATAGCAGTCCACAGCGAAGCAGGTGGCCAGCAAGCTTGTTCATCCGCCCTTCGTTAAGTACTCAGTTCTGGTTACAGAATTGAGCGGTCAGTGACCTTATGGCCTTATAGTCGTACAAGCTTTTGTGGCCTTCGATGGAGAACCAGGCGACCAACCTAGAACTCCCCACGCTCTGAAACGCTGCCATTGATTGCCCGCGACTGTTTATTTATCTCACGTGCAAAGCAAACCGGACTTATTCCCAGGTACGTCCACAAGAATGACATCCCCCGATCAGCAACCTGGGGTTCGCGCCCGAGAGCGTACAGCTCAGCATACAGCTTCACTTGAACATAAGTGTACAAAACAAGTTTCAAATGACAATGCACCTCATCTGTGATCTCAGTGAGCGCGGTCCATTGCGTTCGTTTGACGGGAAGCGCAGTCATTTGTGAAAGGACTCTATGAAAGTAAAGTGATTGGCGTCTTCGTGAGCACGGTGGAGTCGGTTGCGATCCGTTGCCTTTACAAATATGCACATCTTTGATACACACTCCGTAATGTGCAATTGTAACTTACATTTCCCTCTTACTCTCTCTCTCTCTCACTCCCAGGTGGACCAAAGATGACTGTCGCGTAGCATGCCAGCAACTCGGATATTCCGATGGAAATTTCACCTTAGGACCCACTGCACCGAGGCGAACGGCCGGTATTGAGATTTTGGCGCCAAAATGCAAGGGAAACGAAGCCTTCAATGTCTTTGCAAAAACAGACACCTCCGGAGGTTTATTTAGTTGTCCTGGTACGATAGAACACGCACGCATTGGAAGTGGCGTCTGCAGTGAGTTATAAATCGTTATACAATTGCGCTAGAAATTCGAACTGTCCTGAGAGTACGTCGAAGAAGAAATTGTGTCTGTATTTTGCATATGTGTGACTCACAGGTTAACCCTTGTTTGTGGAGAACTTGATGAATGAATCAACTAACAAGGTCAGTGTGTGCATGTGTTGTGTAATTAGAACTCCGCCATTCGGTCGACGGCTCTCTTTCAAAGACAGCCAAACCCGTTACCTACAGTTCCGTAACCCTGCTCTTGTAAGGCTCCACCTGAGTTGTGTGATTTGAGTCTCAGCTGCGATATTTCACTCGGAAAAATATAAGCTTCTCTAGCGTACATTTGGCTGCGAACATCCTGCATGCTAATTGAACCCCACGTTCTGGTGATCGATTTCGAGGCCACACACCATCGACCTGCCCGCCCACTTGTAAGCCACCGAGTCACCTAGACGCGAGTTTGTGCAAACCTTGACGCTAATGTGTGCGACGCTGTGATGTACTCGCTCAGGCTTTGTTTGCATAACGCGTCGCTGTGTGAGTCTGGAGCGAATCTACGTGCGTCTCGTGACGACGGTGGCGGGCATAAAATCGCTGCTGGATGCTCTAACTTTTCCCATGATTCTAACACTTTGCAGTGGTAGATACAAGTTATCTGTCACAGACAAATACACCAAATTATTATCTCCGAGGTAGCCTTTTTAACTTCTCGAGCAACTGGTATAGACCCTCAGCTGACAGCAAACCCACGGACTATATACACCATGAATCTCATGTTACAGGGTTCTCGTTGAATTCAAAATAATAAGTTCATTGTTCGTTGTCATCTTTTACACATAACCACCAGTTATGCAGTTGCTTGAATCTATGAACATTATTAACTGCATATACTTGTTGTTTTCGCAGCAATATGTAAAACAGCCTCGGCAAGGCACGTTCCACACCCATGTAACTAACTGCGAATACTAACCCGCCGCGCTTAAACAATCTGCGAGCGCTCACGCTCGTGTGTGCCATCTACGGTGGTTTCAGACCTGGTTGCTAGCCGCTCTGAGTGCAGCCCGCGCTCCAACACAACTTTCGAAGAAGTGTGACATTTATACCTTGTTTGCATACGACCGAGATCAAACAACGGTCACAAAAGTTAGTAAATTTAGAAAGAAAACTTGATGTGCGAGGATAAGACAGCTGGAATCTGGGCTGTAACCAATTCATAAATCTGCGCTGCGCGATGCAAACTAGCAGTTATGGGATGAGAACACAACCATCTTGCCTCTGTATTAAAAACTGGATAGGTTGATTTGGTGCAATGATCACAAAACTACCGTGAGGATCGAAAATATCAGCGTTTTGATACGCGTCGTTTCTGTCTAACGTGCACCCCACAGATGAACGTTTGTCCTTTTGGCAAGTTGTGTACATTTTTCTAGGATTCAGGTAGTCGTGTTCCATTGAGTCGTTCTGCCGTGAGTACAACAGAATCAAATTTACCCAGTACAAGACTAGGAAAGGTGTGGCAGGACCAACTGTATGTTCGAAGGATCAGTGAGCAAATTTTTGGGGCTTCATCAAGTATTGTCTAACTCTACTTTCTTCTGAGCGATCAGTTGCATTAGAAGCTTAGGATCAGGTGGTCAGCGCTAAACATCTTTTGTCACAGGCCTTTTGTCAGTTGCTTATGACGGAAAGTAGAAGTTCAGACGTATGACGCAAATCAACGTTCGTGAGAAAGACAGCAAACCCATTGGTTTGCAATGCCTGCGAATGAGCAATTGAAGATGTAACATGTTCAAAAGGATACCTTACATCCAGCCTAGGGTATATCCTGCTCGACACCAGGTATTTCAGAGCTGGTTGCTTCGCCTTCCAGTGAATCGTCATTGGTAGGTACCGTTTAAACCTTCCACGTTCGAACTCACTACACACATCTTGCGCAGCCGAAACTGAAGACCCCAATTCTTTGTGAACGCCGCTGGTTGGTCTTAGGAAATAGCTGGACGTTGGGATGTACACAGGGCGCTACTGCTGTACAGTGACACCTTTGCCCTCTATATCAACGTTAGCTTACGAACCCGCTAATTCGCCTTTGATATTATCGGTTCGTCTGATCACGTTGCTGCTCCATGGAGAGTAGTGTATTTTCTTATCTGAACGGAGTTGAATACCGGTAGCTGGCCAGCGGTGGATCCAAATTGACCACATTGCCATAAGTAACTGGTGGCGTGGTTCTATCTTGGATTACCGCTCGTCCTAGTACTTGCGTCGACTCTGATCCTGTCTTGGTACGCTGTCGTTTTTCCATGAACTTTACCGGGAGGCGCACCAAGCGTCTCTCCCCCGTGGCAACTGAGAAGTTATCTCAGCCGTCGGTCAATCAAGCCTACCAAGCTGCACTGCGTACCGAACTTACACTGTATTGTCTTAATGACACTGAGCTTCAGTGGAATAGGATCCCGGCCGCCATACACGACGCAGGAGCATCTGCTTGTGGCACTAGCCCTCGTCACCGAACTAGTCACTGGAAATCCGAGAGGTCGGTGAACCTGCTAGAATGCAGAAGAAACCTCCCGGCTGGCTCTGAGCACAATGTGACCAGACGGACTATTAGGCACAAACTAAAGCGAAGCCTACATGCTGACAAAGAGTCCTGATGGACCAGTCGGATTCAAAAATGGAGGAAACATGAGTAGTAGGCAATTACCGCAAGCTCTTCCAGCTGATCCGAACCACTGATCCCAGGAAACCATGTGTCATTGAGACAATCAGGGATAGCACGGGTGCACTGATACACGAGAGGGAGCGCCGGGTGATTTGTTGGGCGGAACACTTTCAAAATCAGTTCAGCTGACACTCTGCTCCCGGACCTCTTCCTATTCAGGTGATGCAGGAATAGTCAAGTTGGTTAGTATAAGGTGTCCGTCGGAGGCCGAGGTCCGAAACACAACCACAACCATCAATCGTTTTCGTGCTGCTGACCTGGACTTCCTCCCATCTGCACTATTTAAGGATGGAGGTGGGGTCCTCTGTAAACCACTGACCTCCCTATTCGTACATATCTGAAAGGAGATGTTCACACTCATTCGACATAGGTTCACCTGCGCTATCTAGTGCATTCCATCTTTCGGAGCTAACTTGTGTGAATCGACTTTTATCTCCACACTGCTATTTTTGTGCCTTTCCCGCAAAAACACATTCGAGGAATTTTCCGAATCACGAACCACACAGAAATATTTGTGGTCTCAAACGAAAGCCAACTGCACGTTTCATCTGACGAATCAGTAGTTACAACTGTGGACCGCTCAGCAAAGTAACTATGGTACACATTGTGTCTGTATTACTCAGTCGCTCTGTTTACCTCCTGAACGATCTAGCCGCTTAAACCTGCCCGCCTGTGCCAGACGCACAGAATGTGACGACCTTGAACATGCAGACAATCCGGCGCACACGCGACCGGCAAGAAACGATAAGCGCTCAGGCCTCTCTGGGAATAGCATCGATCCACGCAATGGATTGTGGCGACCAAACAATAACCCACGTCACCGCATCCAGATCGACGGTGGTTTGTGGCTTTCGTTCATGTCATAAAAATGTACGGATCGGAATCCAGTGTAGCGATTGCCAAGGCAAGTTCCATCGCAAATGTTCCAAGCTCAAGGTGAACTAGGTGAAGCTATGCAATAGTAAACCAGATTCACTGTGGTTCGGTTTAGTAGGTATAATCATACCATTGGTAAAAATTGTACATGAACTATCGCAGAGGTACCAAAGACTAGTGGTAATGTTTTAGCAAATGAGGAACACCAAAAGCGATCCATTTGTAGGCAGCGTGACAGAGACTAAACCCCATTCATTTCCATCCAGCCCGCATTAAAACTGAGAACTGAGAACTGGTGCGAAGCAGCGAGTAGATATTGCTCTGTGTAGCTGCATCATTCGTCGTTTTCGGACATGAACTTTATATTTATCGTTTCGTTCTCTGCACTTTGCCTCTGCAAATTGTTGGTCTGGTAGCATCTTAAATTTAGACACTGTGTTCGCTTCTACTATATGCTGAGGCAGGTCGTTCCAGACATTCACCACTCTGCGTTCGAAACAGAGTTGATGGGCGACCCGCTTCAAATCCGGGACGATAAGTTTATACCGGTGTCCTCGCGTGCAGCTTGGTGTGCGCAGATGAAGTAGTTGTCTCAACATCGGGTAATCACCCAGATGTAATATCCGGTGCGTCATGATGAGGTCAACCCTCAGCCGACGATAAGATAGGGTGTATAACCCTAGTTTCTTACATCGGTCTTCGTATGGCATACCTTGTAAGTTGGTGGCTACATGCTGCACCCGCTCAAGCTTTTCTACTTCGCCCCGGGTGATGGGACAGTATGCGGGAGTGCCGTACTCTAGCATTGGTCGTATTATCGAGACGAAGAGGCGAGAAGCAATCTCTTCGGACCAAGTGCTAAAGCTGCGCCTGAGAGCCCAAAGCATCCGGAGGCTGTTTTGGTACAGCCTATTCGTGTTGTCAATGGACTTTAGGTCGCAGCGTGAGAGTACACCGAGGTCGCGCACGAAAGGAGCGGGATGCAATGGTTGACCAGCCACTGTGTATATTCGGCTGTGGAAGAAGGCTAAGCAGCGCCCTAAAAATGTACCATCTGTGGCATTAAACATCAATGCTATCAGTTGCTCAAATATGCCTGAAACAACCACCGACAGTCCGGTTGCAATGAGCACAGTCAGAACTTCGTCCACCCTCCAAACGGGTCCGAAAATTCGGAAGGGATTCGACACCAATGGTGGTTGGAACTTGATTGCTCTCATAGGTGACCGGAAACCTAGATCTTCGGCCACGCAGTGGAACCGTAGTAAATGAAGAAGACGAAGCTGTACCCAAACAGTCTCCGTCGACTGTATACAGACCAGCTGGTCGCTTGACCTCAACCAGAGTTGCATAGAGTATACCAGAGGTAAGCTGCACCAACGTTCCAGAATCGACGTCAAATTCCTTAAAAGGAAAACAACTCGATGACGTGAATCAGTGGAACTTCATGTGTGACACTATATGTATTGTAACTAAGCCCGTAAATTTGACACGCGGTACCCGTCATTTTATTCAAAACACCCTTTCCACGATTCAGTGCTAAAAACAGAGAAACTTTCCTGCATGTACACCAATGCGCAACGTCTGTTGAACTGACTTGCGGAACTGCGGCTACATCAAGCGTTACATGCCTGGGACCTCATACTCGTTACGGAAACCTGGTTGCACTCAGAAATTACCGATGCCGAAGTCTCGATAAATGGTGTATCCCTTCTCCGAAACTATCGACCTAGCAAAGGCGGTGGGGGCGGTAATGTTATGCTACCGCCCCGACCTACAGTGCGAACCGATGGCAGATCAGGAAACGCTGATTATAGACTCACTCTGTTGCAGTCTGCGACTGAGACGCAACGACGCTTGCATTTTTGCCGTTTTTATCGTCCCCCAATGTCCACCCTAGAGATGGATTTCCACCTGGCATTATTCTTGGAAGGGTTCTACCAGGACGATACATTCATGTTCTCATCTCAGGTGACTTCAATCTTCATGATCTGGAAGTTCCGCCATCCCCAACGAGCAGTTTAAGGCCGATCTGCAAGTAATTTGCAAGCATTCCGCTCTTCAGCCTTGTCACTTCACGCACCTGATTCAGAGACGGAAATAAACCATTTGTGCTTGATTTAGTGCTCACGAACGTAGAGCTCATGGTTGAGAAACCAATGATGGAGAGCCCTCTGGGGTGAAGTGACCAAGTAAACATAATTTACGACCATGTGTTATGCGCAGTATCCACAATAACATACATACACCTACATACATGTTTCGAACAAGTACCCACTATGATCTACTGGTAAAACTTGTATGTGATGCCAGCTGGGAGTTTCCGGACGTCTGTTCCATCGACACTGCTTTGCTGGATTTTACTGGCAAGTTCAGTGATTTGATTAGATCTGTATCAGTCAACAAGCCGCTTCGCTCTGCAAGGGCACAATCATTTATTCGGAGTAGAACCCGAAAACACTTGATAATAAGAGACGCTGCATGGCATGTGTATATAGCGAACTCTAGGCCTGACCACTGGAGTAACTATGTTGTGCATCGTGATCACTCTACCACACCAGTGTACGAGGACAAATTGGCGGAAAAGTTTTGTGTTAACAGAAAGCTTCTGTACAGGTATGTGAACAGCCTCCCGGAATGTGAAACGTAGTGTTCTCCCACTCATATCAGCGGATGCATGTACACAAACCGCCGAGGATGCAGTCAACGTTCTAGGTCTACAATGTGCCCTAATTTTCCGACGTGCTTCCAGTATTTGTAACATACCTGTCCCATCTTCCCAGATGCCAATCTTTACACCCTTCAGGTTTAGTTCAGCAACCATTTTGAGGAAGCTGCTGTCGTTGCGCACCTATAGTTCCCCAGGAGTTGACAAAGCTCCCCCGAAAGCACTGCAGGGGCAGCTACGAGGATAGCCGAACCAGTAACGAGATTTTTCCTGAGATGCCTGAACGAACAGCAGGTCCCTAACATGTGGAAGCAAGGCATCATTACCCCGATTTTCAAAAGTGATAGCCGTTCAGAGCCTGCCAACTATCACCCATTGATTCTCCTCCTGGTACTCTCTAAGGTGATAGAATCGACCATAGCTGAGGCTGTAATGGGCTACTTCGAAAGGTCTGGCATCATAGCACCGGAGCAACGCGGATTACATAAACCACGGTCATATACTACCAACCTACTGCTTACCTGTGGCAGTTGGACTGAGATAGCTGACAGTGGGACCGGTATTGATGTCATCTACTTAGAATTTTCCAAAACATTCGACCGCATGGATCACCGCATCCTTCTCCAAAAGCTGCAAGCATAAAGAATTGGAAACCCTGTCCTTGGATGGATCGGAAACTTCCTCTTTCAATGGCATCTTCGGGTTCGAGTTTGAGGTTCATTTTCTAATCCAATTTGTGTGAACTGCGTTGTTCCACAACGGTCGTGGTTGGGGCCGCGGTTACTCTGATTCTTCATTAACGACGTTGCGAGTGTCATCAAGTCAAATTTCCTGCTTTTTGCTGATGACATCAAGATATGGAGGACAATCAACTGTCAGGAAAATCACGATATGTTGCAACGAGAAAGCCTGCGCTTTTGAATGGTCAAAGTTAAATATACTTCTGATTAGCACGGACAAGTGCAAAACCTTGCGCGTCCGCCACAAGCCCAATTGCGCATATAAGCTTGGAGACGATATGCTGAACACCGCCTCACAAGAGCCAGACTTTGAGGTGATAATCCGAGACTACGTCGGCTGTTCGACGCAGTCCATCAAGGCGTCCAAAATCGCGAAGCAACATGTTGGTCTGTTACGGAGTGCGTTCAGAAGATTCGATCCCTCCATCTTCCCCCAAATGCCCAGTGCGTTTTTGAGGCCCCATGTAGAGTACGCGATCCGGACTTGGTAATCCTTGTTAAAAAGCGACCTGGTTGCACTGAGGACCGCATGGCGACGGGCAACGAAAAACGTGAAGGGTTTGTCCCACCTGCAATACCATAGGCGACTGAAAGCCCTGGGAGTGTACAGCGGAAAATATTGCCGTCTACGAAGTGACATCATCCTGGCGTTCCAGAGTTTGGAAAACCCCGGTAGAACTTGCCGCCACCTCCTGAAGCTTAATTGCAACAGGGAATTGAGGGGTCAAAAATTGAAATTTGCTACTCACTGCAGTCGGCTTGAGTGTCGCCGGAATTCTTTTTCTCTTCAAGTTTGTCAATCTTGGCACGCTCTTTCGACTTTTGTCATTTCAGCGCCCACGCTACCGATTTTTTTAAAAACGGCTCGACGATACTTTACATCATTTACATTACTTGATCTTATTTCTGTTCATTGAGTGACGACAAGATGCAGACAAACATTGTGTTCACCAACCCCATGAAATCAGGGTATACGGATGTACCTACGTCTTAACGTGGATAACATGGTGAGTTCACGGATGTTTTTCACTTTTGTGTAACTTCATTGAACTAACCTTATTCCCACAAACCATCCCACGGAACTTATCAAGTCGGCTTTTTTATCCGTATTATATCATACCATTGTTCCACTGGAGTGAATCGATTATAGTGGCAATATACAAGAAGGGTAATCGCACAAACGGTGCTAACCACAGGGGTATTGGCCTAACGTCAGTGGTAACAAAATTACTGGCCTCGATTCTCGCACATTGTCTCACTGTGGAACGGGAATCTCGGATTAGGGAAGCGCAGGCAGGTTTCCGCCCAGGAGTTGGCTGCATAGACCATTTATTCACACTGCAGCAGCTACTGGAGTATCGCCAAGCATATCACAGACCGACAGTAGTTGTGTTCCTCGATTTCGATAGTGTGTTAGATTCAGTCGGTTGATGCATACTTGCGCCGAAAGGTGTTTCCACGAAATATGTGAACATCCTTCGTGCTCTGTACTCGAACACCACAGGCGGCGTCAGAGTCTACAGTGATCTGTCGAATAGCTTGCTGACAACAAGTGGCGTTCATCAGGGTTGTCCGATTTCTCCGTTTCTTTCAAATTCACCGTGGACTATATCATGGAGTGTTCCCTTACCGATTCTTACGATGTAGGCGTTGAGGTCCTGCCTGGTGAAAGGTTAGTTGATTTTGATTATGCGGAAGATATCGTCTTGCTTTTCGACGAGGTTGCGCCGGCACAATCAACCCTGGATAGCCCCTCTAGAGTGGTCACATTGTTTGGCATGTGCTTCACACCTAGTAAGTCTAAAGTGTTGCTGCAAGCCCACAAGACACTTTATGACCCCTTGACCCTTGATAACGAGGAACTGGAACTGGCTGATCGATTCACATACTTTGACAGCTGCATCAGCAACGATGGGCACATAGAAACTGAAGTCAGTTCACGCACTGCAAAAGTAAGAACTGTCTTCTTGAACCTGTGACACCTTTGGCAGCTGAAAGGAGCTTCACCCTGTCTGCAAGGCCGTGTATACAAGGCCACAGTGAGCGCCATACTGCTCTGTGGCAGTGAACTTAGCTCTTTCGGTCTGTAGATTTGAGGCGCCTTTAAAGCTTTGTACATCCTTGCCTGTGAAGCATTGATGGTGTCGGATGGCACCAGCGTGTCCGCAACGATGATGTGCGTAGGCGAGTACTAGGTAGTGATAATCCTGCTAGCTCCTTAGCACTGCATAAGTTGCGTCACTTTGGACACGTGCTACGTATGCCTAGTCACCGCTTACCTAGGAGGGCCTTGTTTAGTCTGCCAGGTGTAAGGTAGCTCGAGGCTCGAGGTCGGCAGAGGTTGACTTGGTAGCGTGAGATGAAGTCACTGACGACCAAACTGGGTGCCGTTGGTCCTTCACTCCATCCAGGCTGGAGTCCACGTGACCCGCCTTGGGCTTGACTCGTGACTTTACAGGACATGGTTTGCAATCGACGCCAGTAGCGCACCTGCTGCCGTCTGCTAGTTTGATTGTCTGTCTAAAGTCTGTTTGGTGCTGAGTTATCTGCTGGGTGATGGCTGATCATGACACGGGATAGTGAAAGTCACAAGGAAGTTGTTTCGCCGAAGTCGCTAATGTTTCTCTGTTTCTATTTATTAGGCCACGGTGATAATTAATCTAAAACGAATACACTTGACTGCTCCTGTGTTCACCAGTGTATCAATTCATTTTGAACACTTGACTGCGTAGATAATCTCATCCGTTCTCATTTTTATCCTTAGAATGGCAGGATCTCGTCGGTCTCAACTGCTGGGGTGTGACAGAACGATGGTATGACCATTACTGGAAAGGAATCGAACTGGACAATACTACAACGACTGAAATAAATATACCACTTGAATGGGGTGGTAGCGTGGGCAACACACGTCTCAATATTTCAACGTCAATTTTAGAACACATAGAGATTTTACACGCAGGTGAGTTGTTCATTTATCAGTCAGCCGGGCTACTTTAATAATTGTTGGAAGTAACAGCGCTGCATCTGCGTAACATTTATTGTAGTCTGTTTCTACTACTACTGCCAAATAAAAGAATAAATAGTATTTTTATCTCTCGTCTGTGCGAGCGATTGCTCCCACATACGGAAAGACTAACAAGTATACAATTGTTTTTCACAATTGATGTCATCTTAGAGCGGATTGTAGTGGAGTCCCTATATGTGCTATTATGTTCATTACGGTTTCACATATTCATGGTGTTCAGGGATAAGGACAACGGCTGTACTAAAGGCGGACACTGTTGGTGTGGTTCCTCCTGTTTATCTAATGGTTTTCGTTGCCTGCCTCCGTTAAATGTTGCGCCATCCAAGTAAACCTGCGCAGTCTGACCAGAAAACGGAAATGGGACTTTACTGGCCAAGTCAGTATTTTAATATCCTGCTGGTGCGCAATCCGACTCCATCGGTTGATTTCAGCGTGTTCCGAGTTTTTAAGTAATAACCGGCTCAGGGAGGAAATTACGGTAGTACCAAGATAAGCAAGAAACCGCACTAAAATATATTCCAGTAGGAATAAATAATTAAAATAGGAATGTCTAGCAAAAGAGAATTCTGATGGATAGCTAACATAATTCGTGAGGGAAACAAAACATTTGGTGACTGCCCCTTGTATTTTGAGCTATTTATTGAAATGGGAAGCTTAAAAATGCGGGATCATGCTGCAAAACATTCCTTGTGTGCAAAAGAATATTCCAGGATGTAAACTGCCTGTTAGCATCCACTGTGGTATCGGCAAAGCATTGTGTAAATATGCATCAATTCTCGCCACCCGAATATCCATGCACATTGGATTGTCGTTTGTCCTATCACTATGCATACACCCATACGTCTGATGTCTACTGAAGGTTCTCGTTTGCAAAACACGTGATTAGCTTCACTCCAACATCCATTGTCTTCTTGTTGAAGTTATACGCTTTGTACTTGACTTAAGAGTGTTTCAGATAAGACGCTTCACTAAAATCTCCTTACAAGCAGCGTGCCGACGACTTCGAAGCAAGATTTGTTGACGGACGGATAAGATTAGCTAAGACACTATTTTCGAAATAAAGTGATCTCGGTAAAGATCTGTTTTTGTGCTAGATGATACGGCTCAAGCTGCTCGGTTGTAGTATTTTGCGAAACAGGAACCAATAAGCAGTCGGCCAAGCAGTGTAAAGTGAGATAAATTTGTGACTTTCTTGTTTCCATCACGTCAAACAAAGATTATGAAGTAAAATTCGATAACTGATGCGGCCCCCATGGAAAATATATCACCTAACACAAGATATCGCACATTTCAGAGTCTTGGCTATTTCTTTAAAGCAAACACCACGATGTGTCAATGACAGTCGTTGTTTTACTGTTACCTATGAGTCTGGTAATACACATTATTCCAGTTTCATTCACAGTAGAGAACAGATTTACCTTAAAACCCATTGAGCGTTGTGCTCAAACAGTTTCAGTACAATCAGGCACACGCTTCTCAGTGATGTCCCCGTATGTAAGGCTGTTGCAACTCAGCTGACATCCCACCGGCGCGCGTGCGAATCATTATTCTCATTTATGCGAAACCGTCATGGACTGAAGCGTTTACACCCAACCACGCATCTGTACCGACAGTTTTGTTTCCTTTATTCCCTGTCCCCAGGTGTCAATCGCTCACGTCATCAGGTGGCCGCTTTGAGCGCCAGTCCTTATCCACCAGTGTTGAACAACGTTCGTTTAGCACACAATGCGTATGACGCGCTCAATTTTAGTCTCATCCGGGGTCCAGCCATTCTACAAAACGTCACGGTGAGTACTCCTTCACGTCGTGAGTATTGGGGCTCGCCACTCACTTACTAGTACTTTTGATCCTCCTCAGATACTTGTGATGCAAAGCGATATCAGTGTTTTATGCCCACCTACGTAGGTTAAGACAATAGAACGCAGTGGCCTTCTCTGCCGTCGATTACAAACATGTGACTGACCGGCTTACTCGCTGACTGGTTCCTATCAACTAAACCACCTCATATTTCTGAGTACTAGCTAATGGAGAAGTCCTGATCGGTTTGGAAGACAGCTTATAAGGGGTTATAGGTATTCAGGGCCACACGCCCACATGGGTCATCTTCACAGCGTCGCAGATAAAGAAACAATGTGTGTAAAAGACCTGGACTTGAAGGTGGCTCATTGGTGCACATAGCTGCTTTATCTTCGACAGCTGAATATTTGCCCATCGCTGGTGTATAGAGCACATTATTGAATTGACTTGAATCGACATCCATATGTCGCTTTTTCGAATGTTTTCGTTAGCAGGAAATCAACGGTTGAATCAAAAGCTAATAAATGCTTCAGTCATACAATTGTTATTGTAAATGATGTCAGTACACCGCTCTTGCTGTCACATGTGATCCGGAAATAAATATTTTGCATTCTTTCTTCGGCGGTTGCATGTATCTGGTCATTTCTAGCCAAATGCAATTGAATGGTTAGATTCAGTGGGTCTGTGAACTTCTTGAGCTGACATCAAGTGCACTGGAACGGCAGTTGCTGAGAAAGATTCTAGTGAGGAGGTTTCGCAGATGTAGGAGAGATTCTGTTCGACACATAGAAGCTAGCCAGAAGACTAATAGTGCTTTAATAGTCGATTTCGACATGCATTAGCAACACTCAACTTCCTAAGGATGGATGTATGTAACACACTTTCTCAGGTTGCCAACATATGAAGTAGAAAAAGCTACAAGCTTTTGTCTACCACGCGCGCATTGAACATCACTCGAATTCCAGGCGATGCTGTGACATGACAGACAATATTTGTGATGTTACTCCAATAACGTCTCCAGCCAATAGTGTTTACTCCCTTTACAAATCAAATAATATTTACAAGCGTTAGCTCATCTCTTTAAGCGACGAAGTAAACAACAGCGTAGATACCTTTAACTAGTCCACAATGGTTCTCTGTTTTTTTTCACATAGCTTAAACTGCCTTCAGATGGAGCACCAGAACCAGTGCCAAGACCTGGTGGACGCCGAGGGATTTACTGGATTACCAAACTAATCATAGGGAAGTTTAGTAACTGATTCTCTCGGAGCAATTCATCCTATGCTGATGACTTCATTTTTCACGAAATGAATATGCCGCCCACCGAAGTTGGATGACGCAGCAGCTGCTTACTTCTAGGTTACCCACACATTGACTGTGCATTGTGAATTAGAGTTGTGGACGTTTCTTCTCTCTGACTGTAGTCCAATCCCCACTTCAAAGCAAGTGATCTTAAGCTTTCCGAAAAAAATGTGCGGAAAATTAACAAATTGCTATTAAGGGTATTTGCTGTCAACTGCAGCATTGAAGTACTGAGTTCAGTTCAGTTCATTGGGGACCGGAACGATAGGATACTCCCGTGAATGTTCCTTCCTTTGCATCTCATTGAACCGGGAACTGAGAGGTCTGCTTGAGAGACTGAAAACCCTAAAACAAAGACCGCATCCACCCTGTTCAACCAATTACTGGCCGCCTTTCCTGCCCAGCAGTCAATGCCAGGCCGGTTTATGTGAAGTCAGAAAGAGGGAAGGGTAAGCTAAGAAAATGAAAGTATGAATGATAACTAAATAATGATAATACCAAGATATGAGAAGCACTAGAAAGAAATCTAACAGAAAGCTGAAGAGAAAATCGGTTAGGAGAAGGGGAATTTTGGTACTGCCATCCGAGAGCAGCTAACTGACGCTCGAAACCCTCAACCGTACGTTCCCTAACGACGTACTCCGGAAGCGTCCAATAACCCAGCGAGACAAGCAAGTTTCCGTCCTTACCCGGTCAGGATGCAGTTTGTGCAGCTTCAACGGGTGACCTCGAAGGCTAGCAGCTTGGTGGGACTGAATAGCTAAGACAAGTCCTGACCCATCCACCCGTTAGTATACGGTAAGTGGGGATGAAGTCTCCTCTTATTCTCCGGTAGTGCTTTGTGTACATCCCCAAGCTAAGCAAATGTTCACAGACCATGTGCTTAGCGCATTCATTCATTTCTAATGCATTCTTGAACGATTCCACTAAATCAGCTAGTGAGCATAGTGTTTAGAAGTATGACCATGTGCAAAGTTTTGCTGCTAACGTTGGACTGTCTCTCAAATAAACAGTAGCACTAATGCCTCCTGGTTGGCTTGTTGGTTCGAAGGTTCTCATGTTCCAGACATCATCTTGAGAATGTCACTGGCAGAGCCTGACCACTGCCTGCGTCCTCTCACTCCAGATTGCGCGCGGTTTCTGTGCCCTGATCACCACCAGATGGCCACTAACACCGATCTGTGGGTTTCTGTAAAGCAGATGACCAGGATTCGGGGAATAGAATGGTGTGGGTGGACTGTGAGTGGAAGAAACCCCGCAGTATCTTGGCAGCTTCATCAGCAACGATGGGCACATAGAAACTGACGTCTGCTCACGCATTGTAAAGGCCAGAGCTGCCTTCTTGAACCTGCGGCATCTTTGGTGACAGAAGGGAGTTTTCCTCCGTCTGAAAGGCCATGTATACAAGGCCACAGTGAGGGCCGTCCTGCTCTTTGTGTGTGAGACTTGACCCCTTCGGTCTGAAGATCTGAGGCGCCTTCAAGTCTCCGATCATCGTTGTCTGCGAAGCACTGATGGTGTCGGATGGCACCAGCGTGTCCGCAACGATGATGAACAATGAACAATGATTGATCGCGGGATAAAAGCAAGTGCTTAACAAGTCCCGTAGGATGGTCGCGGTGAATATGATGAAATCAAAATATGTCTGGGTCATCTACCGAACGTCTGCCGAGATGAATACTTTGATAATTAACATCAGTGTAAAATTTAAAAAAGTTATCGAGCGTAAACCTTCAGAAAGACACTGGGGTGTAGTAGGCGAGTACTAGGTAGTGATAATCATGCTAGCTCCCTAGAACAACAGAGAGCACTGAATAAGTTGCGTTGGCTCGGGCACTTGCTACGTATGCCTGGTCACCGCTTACCTAGGAGGGCTTTGTTTACTCTGCCAGGTGTAGGGTGGCGCAAGGCTCGAGGTGGACAGAAGTTGACTTGGCATTGGGAAATGAAGTGACGGACGACCAAACTGGGTGCCGTTGGTCCGTCACTCCATCCGGGCTGGAGTCCACGTGACTCGCCTTGTGCTTGGCTCGAGACTACAGTACATGGCTCGCAACCGACACCAGTGACGTGTCTGCTGCCGTCTCCCAATCGGATTGCGTGTTTAGGTGTGTTTGGTGCTGGTATCTGCGGGCTAATGGCTGATTATGACGCGTGGCAGTGAAAGCCACAAGGAAGCCATCTCGTCGATGCCGCCTTATCTTTTCACGATAGCCAGCTGTTCGCAAGGGTATGTTGTCTACACATGGTGTAGGCGCCTTGACCCTGAATGTTTGCTTAGGGCATTAAGGTTTTCAGGTTAGTCCCCCTTCTCTCCCTCTTCTTATTCTTTATTTCATAAGTCATCGTGGTTGTATGGCAGCAAAGCATCAGTTCAAATGGCTGATGTACTACTGTTGTTGTTGATTTTTGAAACCCCCGCAGTATTGCAGGATAATGAACTACACGCTCCAAATGTTTACCGTTGGGATAACTGCAAAGGTGTTATTAGGATAACACTGTTTTATTCCGGTTTCGCTAACCAATATGTAATTTACCCATGCATAAGTTTATTTTTGGTGAGATTTTGTCGATTTCATCGCGGTAGATTACAAGCCCGTTTGTTTACCATCAATCCAAAACGATACCAGATGACCTTTTCGTTCTATTGGGATCGTCAATGGTTCATATCCTCCGACACCATCAGGAACCAAACCCACGACCACTAGCGATCTTCACCACTAGGTAGCAGCTTATACCCCTTGCTTTGCTTTGCTTTCGAGTGGAGAATTAAACGCATGCTTCTAACTTTTCGAGGTTCTTAATAATGTTACCTGCATCGCTCTTGCTTGCTGAGTACAGGGTTTGACAACTCCTCATTTTGCTTTTTGGCATATCCTCAATCCTTAGGCTGAGCTAACTGCATCAGCAATTGGCTAAAGGTGCTGATGCCAATGCAACCGAATATTCGCTGGTGGGGAATTTGTATATTGTCACAAACGGAAGGGCAAGCCACGACAGCTTAACTTTACCATATGCTAATCTCCCACGACGGGGATTGTACTGCCTCATAAACTCAACAGCTATTGGTTCCAAAACACAGGCTTACTTCCAGATTGCCTTTGAGGCCTGTCACTTAATGGTGAGGAGGGATTTACATGCGCTACACTAACTGACGTGTCCCCGTACTGTACTTTCTGCGTTTCAGCTAGAAGGAAATTCGGGTCATGGAGCAGTTGTGTCAACTCTGTTCGGATACGTGCGTCTGCTTGGTGTGAACGCACATGACAACGGCGGAGACGGTGCCAGAATTCACATGGTGTCCGGATCCGAATACCACTGGCCTGACGAAGCCCCGGAATTGGTACACCGAGCCCACTGGCCTTGTCGACCAGGAGCAATACCTGCTAGTCCAGTTTTTCCTTTCTTGGTGGTTAGCGAGTTGCCTGGTCCCACCTTCAGAAAATCTGGGAGCTGTGAACTGGTAAGCTGCTTGTTGGTACCGCAAAATAGTGGCACTCTGCTAGCGTCTTGTTTGGTTCAGACGTGCTGTTCACGAACTATGTGATGAAGATATTCATATCACCAATCATTATTCCTTGCAGTTTGAATGTGGCAGTACTGCACTTGTCGCTGCCGCTAGGGCTGCTGCTGCTACTGCCTTACTCTTCGCCGCACAGCCGCTTCACTTGTATCACCAGACATTTTGCATTTTCTGCTGAGATCACTTGATGCTTGGGAACGAACGCTTCTTACATTGTTGCTTGATAGCTACCGTCGAAAACTGGCGGCTTCACTTCAACGAATCGTTTTGTATCACCACTGACCATCGCAAGACCGGATGAACCCTTCAGTAGGTGAAATACGGATCAGCTTGGTACCTCAACGGCCATCGCAATGGTTGCAGATGGGGTGGATATAGAAACCGTTACAAACGGCTGACCAGTTGCAGTGTAATTGCACTGCACAACTATTTTCGTCCCTGTTTGAGCACCTTGTTTAGGGTATGACAATCCTGTGCAAATGTCTTGCAACTGTCTCAAGTCATCCACTTTACGAAAAATGTGACAAAAGACACATTAACTCGATAAATTGAAGTATGGGAGCTAGAAAACAAAGTGTAACCACGTTTCAAAATTGAGCAACCACAAAGCCATTTGATGAAATGAAATGGACCATTCCAAATTCGCTATTCGCAGTTGAATAACTTGCCTACCACTTTGAGGTCTGGTACACAGTTACTTACCATTTCAAGTCCCGGTCGTCTTGTTGGTACCCAGTCTAGATTGATTTTGCCCGACAGTTATAAACTAAATGCAGCCAACTGACGGCCGGAACCAAAGTTAATATCGCCATCCTGTAACTAGCCTCCTCCATTCATAAGTTTGCACCTACATTTTAGCATTTTCCGTGCCGCATTTCCACCTCACACACGCAATGTTTCCAGGGCAGTTGTTTACCGGTATTGTCTAAATGTCCATCCTAAGTATAACTCGATTATGCCAGCGCAAAGCTGCGTAGTAGATTCGGGATGCCGTGAAACAGTGGCTTTACTTTGCAAGATCGCTTCTTTACACATGGCATGTGCATTGGCGGATATTTTCTGCAATTACATTTCCTTTTGAGAACTTTTGGTTGGTACTCGACCGCTGTTGTAGTGCTTTGAATTGCAGGATCATATTTATCCAAATCCTTGGAAATGTGTTAGACAGTGACTCTGTACCAACCGGGGGGAATAACATCTAGAGTCGAAATGTCGAACTAGTATTTTGCTATCGATTTGCTCTCGAGTTTTCCATGGTCACAAACGTGGTGCGGGGGACGGGCTAAGGGAGTGAATATACGTGACAAATCTATCACTTCACATTCCATTTTTTGCAGCGGATCGAATCCGACCAGTCCATCCAAGTTCTAACAGTCACCCCGCTTGAAGTCCTTCACGATCCCTTGGCCTCCGGTGTCTTGGACGTCTGGGATACGGTGACTGGAGAACAACTTGCACACTGGAAATTACGCAATGAATCTGCAAAGCTTGGGCACTTGGGAGTTCGTTATGGACGTCTATATCAAGGTGTTTCCTCAGTGAAAAATAAAATCCTCATCCGATTAACTTGGGAAAAGCCTGCCCAGCAAGCCGTATGTTCACAATTTGCCAGCTGCGTCAGAATTGTACTCCAAGTTGCTGTGGGACTAAGTGAGCGTCCGTCGGCGGCCAAATGTTGTGAACTGTTTCAGAGATCCAGCATGCTTATGTATAATTCAGTAGTTTATTACGAAGTAACATTGGTTGTAGAGGATCTATGCTAGCTACCATCGGTTTTCTGTCTTGACAATCGCTTCGGTTCCATAATTTAATCATTCGGAAGTAGTTCACCACTGCTCGATAAGTGCTGCATTGCTCTTCTGGAACTTTGTCATCGATAAATTTTTGATTTCAAACCGAATTCTTGGTATCAGCCACCTAACGTCTAGCCTGTTTAGACATTAGACGCATTTGATGCGCAACTACGCACAATGTGAAATAATCCTTGCATATCGTGTGATTTTTCTCCCTGATAAAACATCCAATGCAATTATCAGTGCTGAACAGCAGATCACTTTTCTGAATAGTGCTTGTTATGTGATTGGAACAACACAATATATGCACCTCACCCTGAATGCTTAGAAGACGCAGGAATAGTGATCTTTGAGTGGTTCGTATACAGGTGGGCGTTTCTAGGTGGCGTATCAGAAGATATGTTCTTCTACACCAAAACCTATTTCAGATATTAAATTTGAAGTAAGCCTTTTACATTACTTTATTGTGGTTGCGTAATCCATTTACCTCTTCAAGACCAAGCCCACAGTAAAGTGGTCCACTGCCAAGTCACTCACCACGCATACTGTCTCCTCCTCAGCAGAAAATGGTTCCTGAATTCATTGCAACTAAATCAAGATTGAGTTGGTATTAAATTAAACATTTGTTCGACTGCTCGTGAAGAAGGAGAAAAAATTTCAACTGGATTGCGACTGAAAGACTGGCATGAGCGTACAGTTACGCATGGACTTAAAAGAACAACTAATCCTCCTTTATTTATTCGAAAGCTGGGTTCTAAAGTAAATGATTTAGGTACTTATTTGTCTTGGTTAAGGTTATTTGAATATCTTTCTCATTAGTACAACCACTTTTTTAACTATCCATTCTTTGCTCGGATCCAGCTCGCGTCTTAGTTCACCACGGAAGATATCGAATTCACATTTCACTCGAAAGAGCAAAAAGCAAAAGCTTGCTAATTAATCTGGTAAACGAGAATGGATTTGGGCTAGCACGGTACTTCCTCACGATGTGGGAAACCTTATGAGTTTCTCTGTGAGTGTTTATCTGCGGCTACAAAACACTAATTGATAGAAAAACACCAAAAATCACCCAACTTCCTTTTCTTGTTGATGGGAAAGATAGGTAGCACGTTTTCGACATTTACAACAATTTTAAGTTTAATCGATCAACATACCTAACAACAACACCTACCAATCAGGAAACGAGTTCTCACTTCATATCATCTAACCTAGCACTTGAGTGGTCTGCCTGTGCAGCACAGCCAGATAGTCGAATTCCTGCCGTTTACGTTGTAAGGAATCAAATCATTAACTTGAGAAGAGGGAAATTCCTACACTTATAACCTGGTTGTTTGGAACCATGAGGCGATCAGCATTCTAACCAAACAACTCAAGCGCTGTTCCTCGATTGGAATTAGTCTATAATACGACAACCGGAGCCGGGATTCAGTAGGGAATATTGCTGACGGTGGGTTCTGCATTTTGAAAGCATAATAAACGGAGAAATTTACTAGCTTCCAGTACTGAAAAGTGACCTCCGTGTTACCCGCTGTCATATGCACCACCAGTGTTGTCTATTGCTTGAGTATTTGAACTCACTTGAATTGCTTCGATTACCGTACAGTCTGTATTAGTTTAGGAGTTATTGTCGGATAAATGACGCCTCTGTTATCTTTTGATCACCAGCAAAGATGCCTGAAGTAATCATCGAGGACTCACGATTCTTAAATAATATGCATCGAGGTGTCCGCATCAGTAGCCCATGGTCCTACCTTCGAGTGGTAAGAAGTCGTTTTGAAAGCAATCGATACCGCGCCGGTTTGCAGATCGTGAGCGGGTCAGCAGATCTGTTTTTACACAATTGCAGGTGAGATACGCTGCTGATGCTTAAGTCTACATAAATCTAAAAGCCTAGTGTTTTTTATTCCGGAAATAAGTCACTTGACTTAATACAACTATATAAATTCATATGAAACACTACTCTAGACAAACTTTGCTAGCGTCCATCTTTCAAATTGTCTAGATTAAATGCGAAGCTTACTTAACCTTCGTAAGTTATTTGTATTTGCCTACTTTAAAAAGTATTGGCAAACTTCATATTAGCTTAATACGTGACTTTTTGCGGCTGAAATATAATACGTTGCGGGGTTCTTACCGTGATCGGCCAGGGTTGTACGTTGAATAGCTACATATACAATTGGCCAAAAGAGGAGTCTGACAGCCGAGTGTCACATCCAATTAGACGAGTAGATGAGTGATTTTCGTTTCCGGCCTATATATGTTGAAAGGCCGCAACCGACCAGATTGGTTTAGTGAACTAGCCTCTGTGCTTGTGTTCACCTGATTGAGGTTTCCCGATAAATGCGTCCGAAGGTCAAACAGAAAAACTGTGTGGGGGACTGCGTGTTAAGCTAACCAGTTTACTAACTGACTGCTTGGTTGTCTGAATGAATTAATGGTTACCTGAGTAACTAAGTGCTTGACAACCTGGTTGTTTGATTTTCCTGGCGGAGTGCCTCCATTTACCGCGTTTTCAAGCAAAAATTATAGCCATTCAATTAAACTCGTAGCCACCTCCAGTTCGTGCCAAACTGCTGGAATCTGTGGCCTTGCTGCAACTGCTAACTCTCTCTCTCTCTCTCATCATACGGCCCCTCACTCAGCTTCCTTCACAACGAACATGCGGGTCTAAATGTTGGAACTATCGGCGGATTCCGTCAAATAAACCAAACGCTTTTTGCTGAAAACAGAGGACACGGGCTCGAAGTTTGGAATATACCTTCAACCGAAGGACGTCAACCAAATAGCATAATTGCTACGCATATTCACACTTCCAGCTTCATCGGTACAGTTTACATTTATATACTATAAGTTTGTAGCCGTTAAAAAAGCTATCATTGTTTGCCAATCGTTACGAATGCTCCGTCACTATAGTTTGGAGGAGATTCAAAGCCTAAGTAAATTGCCTACCGGTCCACTTCACTCGATGTGCGTTTACCTTCAGTTGTCTGTTCACATGTGTTTGCTCACTAGTTCTTGACAACACATCCAAGACCAGTACTGGAATCGAGCGATTACTTAGCTAGCTATGTATGACAACCAAGACAGTCACTGGCACGAGTGTTACAGGACGTTTAGTGCCCGGTATTCTTTATTCATTTTACGAATCAGCGAATCCTGCGACGCCAATTCTATACTATTACCTCACAAAGCTGCAATGTCTTGTAGGCTAAAACGCTGTGCTGATTTATGCTTACTCGGCACATCGGTATCTGCCACACCCTATGCTGAGATTGATGTTGCATCCGTGATACTCATCATCATCATCATCATCATCATCATCATCATCATCATCATCATCATCATCATCATCATCATCATCATTGTCATTGTCATACACATTAGGTAGAGGTGGGAAACACGACAGTTACTGTACCACAATACATACAAGGAGAAAAATACAACTAATGCAAACCAGTTGATCTACCGGTAACGGATGGGTATCGTTCCGGTAAGATACTAGCCGGCTACTATGCAATAAAAAAAGATTTCATATGCAAAATCCATGATGCTTCTTCACCGCAGTTGGGCTAAACTAACTTACACTTAAACTAGGTCTTTATAATCTGGATCGAATTCACTCCACTTTATTTGTCTTGCTCAATTCTGTTACTCGGCTGCACATTCTGTGTCCGTTTTGCATGTTTGCTTTCCCTCAGATACTACATTGGTTGTTTGATATCCCCGGTGTGGCTGCACTTGATGTGAAGGTTAACAAGATGCCACCAGTCTAACACCCTCCACCTCAATTAATAGATCCAGGAGACCGAATCGTTGCTGGGGGGACGGGGTGCACAGTTCTCGTGACTGTGCTAGGCTTAAAGAGTGGTCGCATCCAGTGTGGAGCAGACTCCGACCAAACCTTTGCCTTGTGTAGGTTTGGTACGCATGATTCTCTACACAGATAGACAGGAATGCTGCTGCTGTGCATGTTAAAAGTGTGTGGGCCGGCTCCGTTGCTGAAACATGCCTCACGGTCTTATTCCTTCGGGTTTACTCAGGATATGGGGTGTGGGTGGAGCTGTGGGTGGTGCAGCGCAAGCTACCCGTGGTCCCTCTGTAGGCGCAGGCATCCTGTGGTTGGCCACAGGGACAGGCAAATCGGGAACCGGATGCCGCCAACCATGTTACACAACTTAAGTAGCCACGCTAACCCCCATTCTGACCCCCTTACTAATACGATCCCAAGTAAAACGTCCCAAAAAGAGGGATGGATTTCGGTCTAGCAAGTACATTCGGTTCTTCGTTACAGATGCAACTCAGCTCTACAGAACTGTCTACCTAGGAAACATTATCTTAAAACATGCAGTCCTCACCAACTCACCCAGTTCCTTGCAATCCCATTACCCACTTGATTGTACAGTCGAGGGGGAGTTAACAAACTTATGCACGATACTTACTGGCAATCAGACTGTTGCGCTACTAGAGTTGAACCCTGACTTTTCACAACGCTAGAGTTGCCCTAGCCTACCAAAGGAATCCTTGCACTTTCTAGTAAGTGTGCGATCCAAAAATTTGCTCAATTAGCCGAAACGGTTCACTCAGACGATAGTGCAAAGTGTAGAAAATTTAGTGAATTCTTTTTTAACAAGCTTTCAAAGACACACGAAACTTAGGCAGTTGCAAGGGTTCTGTGTACACTTTCTTGTAGAACACAGTGTGGCGCAGGTCTATGGGAGTATCTCTACAGGTAGAGCTTGCCGATGAGATCATCTAGCACTATAATTCCCATGATCACTCGCTCAGCGTCCCACAAGGTTCCATAAAAGCCACAGCCCACGCCGATAACCAGCGTGGAGTTCGCCGTAAGAACGACACATTTGCAACCCATTCAACAGCTTGGCAATAAAAGGCACTTCTTTATGGGAGCTACAGAAGCAGTGGTTTGTTGTTGTGATCGCTTCGGTGTGTCGTAAGTGTCTCACTTCGTCTGCCACAGACTAGGCAGCACCGAGTCACTAAAATATGTGCAACACCTGGATAGAATCGTAACCACATACACAGCCTAGACAGATCCGTTATTCTACCATCATATCCGTAAACAAGGGAAGGAAAACCGGAAGGAATACATGATACTAGTAACAAGATTGGTCACAACTAATGCCAGCGGTAGGGTCCAAATATCCCCCAAGTGCCCTCAATGAGTGCGATCTGATAAAACAAGCAGCATCTGCAGTATTCACTTTGTCAGGTGTCACTGGTCAACCAGAAAATTTAGACGACTAAGACTTAACAATCCCGTGTCTGTCGCTCTATTAAACAGCCTGGCCGCGGTTTAAAGCAGAACCAGGGAAAAGCAGTGCGCGGACCAAAGATTGTGAATAATTGCGCACTACTCAAAGATTATAAATAGTATCACATAATTGGGGTTTCATAGTACGCGCTTATACGTTTTCGCAACTTCGACAGTCGCGCGAATGTACATCAAATCTTCGGGGGCACATGTGTCATAAATTGCACAGACGATAAACCACCGCTAAGGCACACCTCATAAATGCAAATGCCGGAGGGCTGTAATGGCGAAAACTTGCTCCTATCTAGAAACTGTCAAGAAATACACGCGTTGACGACCTCACCGGTCTAGGCCTGAATATCAAGCTATCGATATCGAGTTGGAGATATGTTTCAGATTGGTATTGCCCATTAAATCACCACAATTGCAAGGCATCTAATCAGGTCGCTAGGGCAGCGAAAGCCCATTTTTCGAGTTGACATAAGCAAGAAACATCAGTTAAGGGAAGCGCTCGGAGATCAGAACTATCAAGTTTTGTGTGGAACTTGGAACCTGTCATTTGCTCGCATTCTCAGCAAATAGCACTCATATTTTTCGAACTCAATGATTGTCGCTGGACAGGATGCCATACCGTTAATTATCTAGTGATAACTGATGGTCTGGGCAAGTCTTCACATTTTGCGCATTTCTGGTTGTGTTAGTCTCATCTTTGGACAGGACCAAGAGCGCACCCGAGTGACCGGTTATCCGCTTACGTTTTTCGCCATGCATAACATATTGGTTGTTTGCGGTAGTCGACCTATCTCGGACTAATTGAGTGGGTCTGTCTAACCATTTGCATTAGTCGCTAAACACTTAGTACTGAAACCAAAAACATTGAGACCCTATAATCTTCAGCTTTTCGCTACGCCGTTCGGGCAACTGGTAAAGTTAAGAGGATTTGTCCACCAAGCATCGATGACAAACAAGTGCTTGTGATTTACACCGTAAGGAGGTTTGAAACCATGAAGGGATCCTAAGCCGCCTACGTAGCTCAGCAATACAAAGCAAAAGTATCGTTGTTTGTTCGACTGTTAGCGAATTTTGGTGATTCTGTACCATAGGAGTGCTTCAAATTCTGCGACTGCTCTGTACGAAAGCCCTCGCAATGTTCATGGCTGTATTTGAACCTGTGAATGCGGTTCTGACATGGCAAGTTGATCAGAAATGTGATTTATAGCTGGCTTATTTACTCTGGTAGGTCTATCAGGTTCACACTTAATATCCCTACTAATGGGTAGTGAACTGGACGATGGGAGTGATAGTTACGAGCCTAACCCAAAGTTTTCATTAATCAGTTTCCAGTGAGCCATTCTTTCACTACCCATTTTTGGGTTGATAGCAGTGGTGTGGTTACAAAGTAAGTGCTCTTCCTCGCCACACCATCTACTTCAGATGGCGGAATCTTAGAAGATCTGTCGCACACGTTGATGAATCAATATGTTACCCACAGTGACTTCGACTGCTGTATCAACTAGGTTCGTAGCATCGCACAAAGTTAGCTTCGGCTTATTCTCAGAGTGGATCTGGGCAACAGACAATACGAGCATATCAAATGTTGTTTTATCTACTATGTATTCCTTTTCGACAGTTAACTTAATGGACTGTATGGCTGGATGTAGACTAGATCACTGTTCTGTCCCTCGAGTTCGTTCGATGAGTGAAGACTCAGACACCCAGCGAAGAGCATTGAATCGCAAGTGGCAACTTTCCTCTCCATAAATGTTCCCCACACCAATAGCTAGTGCCGTGGTCCCCATTTTGTGTATCCTGAACAGTGAACAGTGTAGAGCAATTTACCACCATGGGTACAAGTACAGAGGCTTAACAACCCCTGTAGGATGATGGGGGTAAAATGTCCAACTTTGAAGCATGCATGTTATTAATGTAAGCGTCTGCCGATGAGGTGATGAAATGATATTACGATAGTGGCAGTAGGGTGTGTTTAAATACGTGGTTGTATTATGATGGTGAGAAATGGAAATTAAATGTTAGTGTGCAGAATAGTGTGGCAAGGAAATTCAATTGGTGCAACATGACAAAATGTAAAAATTCGTTTTTTGCTTCTTTCCTTGCATTCATTTGGTGCACATACCCTTTGAGAGTAAATCACAAAGACATGCTGTATCACCTGTTATGTAGTGAAATGCTAACGGCCAACAACAATATCAATCGTTTTTGATGACAACCGAAGTAGGACGGGATATGACTAGATTTGGGAGGTTGTTCTAAGATTGACAGACTTCGGATACTAGTAATTTCATCGGCAATCGAGGAGGTGTCGTCGCTCACTTAGTTTCAGGTACTGAAAGCACTCAATGCATTATGTATCAGCATAAGATGTTCGCGTAGTCGTCGGTAGCATCCCCTGAAATTTCCCGATACCTTCCGTCTTTGATGGCAGGAGAGTTTGTGACGACTTTTGAAGTGATTCACTGCCTGCGCTTTTATGTCTAGCCCCTGCAGTTGAACTACCACCAATTTTGTCCAGCTTTGATAGTATATTTGACGTGATGTATCACAAAAGATTTGTGCATCATCTAGAAGATTGATGGGTCTTGAATCCCGAATGCCCACCTCCCACAGGTCAGCTACTTGGTTGTCTCCTTAATCTGTTGCACCAGACTATTTTGAACAGTTGTGGTCATTCTCTGTTGGCACATTAATGTTCTTGCCTCAGAAACAGGACTGGCGACTTGCTAATGACTTACTCTGTAGGACCATATTGCCTTAAGTTGTGAGCTATACTCTTAAACAACTGGGTACTCACTCTGTTCGGTCACTTTAGATGGGAATCTTGTATCGAGTAGGCAGGCAGTTCGCGTGAGACGATAAAGCGCATAGGGCTAGATGACTCCTACTCGGGGACCAGTAGCTCTAACCGTCGAGACTAAAATAAGTAAGATTGTTTAGACCCATTTAATTTTATTTTATTTTCTACTTGGTTATCAGCTTCTTCCTAACCTACACCGCTGCTTTTTTCACTGTAAAGAATTGAATCAGGGCAACTGGCATTTTGCTACTCTGATCCTGGTTACTTACGGGTGTTTAGTTTCGCCTTTATCAGTTTTCCATCAGATGTAAAGACGGGAGATGCTATATCAAAAGCCCTTATCATTCTGAAAATGTCATGGAGAAATGAATACCTAGTTTCATTAGAAGTACATCGGACATATGCATTTGACTAGCTGTTCCAAACTCCCCTGTTGCTAAATCATCAGGATTAGTGCTTGATACCGTATGGATCTTTCCTTCTGTATTTAATCGGTAAATACAAAGCTTTCTGTCGAATAGTAACCTTTCGTCAACTGGTTACTCGCACTATTCACTGATATATGTCTTCTTGTTTATCTCTTTCATCTCTTTAGCCAACTGGTGGAACGGTATACAATCCCTTAACTCCTGTCGACCCTTTTTGTCTCTGGTGAACTATTCCATATTTGAGCGCAATGGATTGAGCGGTATTCGACAGTATTCCTGCCTTGAGGAGTATCACACAGTAAGTCAGGTCCCCCACTGGCTTTTCAAACCCTAAGCAGATAGAGAGCGCTGAGAAATCGATGCTACTAGGTGCTTAAACGAACCACAACCACACACGCGCTGAAGATGCCAAACTCGTTTGCCAACGCGAGTACATAGTTTGTGTACGTGATTGTACCATGGAAGTGCTTACTTTGTCACAAGTCAATCGATTCCTCAGTCTACAATCGAAAAATAAACTGCTGGTGTTGTTTGCATGGATGGTCCGCTTTTCCTACTAAAATCCACAGAAACTATAAAAAGCAATCACAAGTCCATCTTATCAAGTGACGCGGAAAGCGACGGAAATAATGGTTACGGAAACAAGGGTTTACCACAGGTAAGACAAGGTGGCACTTGACAGATTCCACAAGCTGAAAGCTTAGATAATTCGGATTCGAAGTACTGTCCAGTTGTAAGTGCAAGCGGAATTAATTATTGCTTCAAGAAGCTTGTACTAGATGCATCGGTTCTGACCAACGAAACATCCAATTACCTTCACACTACCTGTTGAAGGTTGTATGGCGCAGGTTTCTTCCCGTGTCTAATGTTTGTGTGGTGTGCACTGCGTAGGTGTCTATTCCTTGCGCGCGGTTCCAAATTGTTCCTTTCCTTTGGGAGAGTAATTACGGTCTGCTGTTGGCTGGTTGCCGTTTCGCATCCTGGCGCTTTCACGCTACTGCTAACTGGCCAAATAGTGTTTGCCTTTAGTCCACCTCACCAAGAATTTCAACAGAGCAAACCAGTTATCAGTTTTGCTTTGACCCCCAGTCAGAAAGTCCTACATGGAGCATCTTTAAGCTGTTTTTGGTATATCAACAATGTGGGGAAAAACAAGGTAAAGGAAGTGAACGATCCGAGATTAGCACACAAGAAGCGAGGCGAAATTCCGGCTACCTTCCAACTGGCTAAACCCTGTGATCCGCTTTAACTGATAATCTATCAGTCTGACATTATGGCTCAGTTTCAGGAGGCGACAAGAAGCGTGACTACGGTTTCCAATAATCTGATATGTTTTTATCAAATTTCCACACAGACATCGAAACTGAGATGAAACAACCGTTTTACCGTCTCTGCCGCTGTCTTCTGTACAATGTCGAGTGCAGCAAAGGCATCGTTTGTCAGAATTGCCAGGTATGCATGTGATAGTCTGGATGGAACCTCATGTATGCATTTAACATCTGATAGAACCTGGAGCGTCATGCGCGCCCTTCCGACTGTCTTCCGCAATGAGCTAAGATATTGGTTGACATTTTTGATAATTTCTCGGTGGCCTACACCAAGGTAATTCCCCAGTCCCTACTGTTGAGAGCAATAACCGTCGTGTTGAAATAAAGCAGTCTATGAGTCGTCCACTCATATTCCACATTGAGATCGTCCTGCAATGCTACATGGTCCCCCGCTATCTTGATGGCAAATTGTCAAAAACTTAAGTTGAACCCTCACGAGATTTTGTAGGTAAATCCAAAATGTAAGTGTCATAGTACACCAAACTTCAATAGGCTCAGAAGTGCTGCTGGTGACTCTCACAAACATCCTCGACGGTGAAAGAAACCTATCCAATCTAAGACCGCATCACCGACCCCATAGCTTGTAGAGGAAGATACGGTAGTTCAGATAGTCGGACGCCTCCGAGAAGCTCAGCTAAACTACTTTAACCCCCACATCTGTATCGACGGTTTCAGTCCCAATAGAGCGAGCAAGTGATATATTTGCGGTCTAAAATCTATTCTGGTGAGCCCATGCTGTTTCGACGTAACCGTGTCGCGTTTCTCCACATAAACCACGAGCGCGCCTGTTACAATGACCACCTTAACGTTGAGAACCACAATATTAGAGCCATCGACCTTAATTGATAGGATACGTACAATTTACTCTTCTGCGAGTGTGAATGCGGATACCCGGTCGCCACATCATGGGTACCCACACCGTAGTGAGGCGTCGTTGGATAAAATGGGACAAGGATTCGGCCATATGCATGTTAGCTGCTTTCGGTTCTCTGGGCAAATGTTGTCCGCACCAGGACAGCTGCGCTGATACAAGGACATGGTCTCTTTGGAAGGTTTTTAGGCAAAAACTAGGTATAACTAGGCCCTGTTAGTTGCTTTTGCTGTTTGAACAGCACAGGAGACAAAGTTGTGCTATGGAACCTGAAAGACAATTGCTTCCGAAGGACAATGGTAAATATTTGTGTGGTTGGTGGTTGTTCATACGGTGCACGTTGGGAAGGATCCCCGCGCTGCACTCTGCTTGCCCTTTGACGCCTCTAAAACATATTACAGAACTATACATTATGGAAAAGATAAATCAAGGCAGTTTCAGACCAGTCAGTCAGTAATATACATGCAGTGCAGCCATTAGTAGGAATATATGCATAGCATATGTTTTAAACAATTGTCTGAAATCGATTATGCGGTGTTGAGAATGCCCGTGGTAGAAATTGGTGGGACGCAGTTTTAGGACTATTTCCAAGTGGACTTCCTCAATCCTGCCACCGAAACCATCCTGAAGCAGAGACAGGTTGTGTTATCAGCCTCCAAAGCCACGGTGAGTCTCGCACTAGTTCAGGTTTTTCAGCGATGGAACCCCAATGGGAACTAGAACGCGGAACGTAAAAACGGATGGGTGCTTGCCACCATACCGCCAATTTGCACAGTCCCAGTGGGTGCATAACGATCTAAATGATTAAAGATTACTCCAAGGAAGACCACTGTCCACATTGAGATTGCATGCCGCTAGCCATTCCTACGTACAGTACTCCAGCCGAACAAGAATCGAGTCGCTAGCATTTGCAAGGAGCGTCGACCTTTGCTCATGGTGAACGGTGGTTTGGTGGCGATGACGTCTGGCGACAGGCTTTAAGCACTGGTGTCGTGTAAAACCTAAGGCTGGCCTCAAAGCAATTGCGACAACATTACTGCATTATCTTATGAACTCGGGAATTGCGGACTGCAAAATTCAGGTCAACGACCATCGTTAACCGGGGCAATCGGTCCCAAAACTGGCGCATCCACTAAACCGGTCCGTACTGGGTGACGACAATGAGATTCACGAACGGGTTTCGTAGTACGTACATCCTACCGATCGTCTGTAACCGAAGACTATTGTTGCCAAAGAAACGAACTCGGTTCTTACGGGCAAAAAGCGAATGCTTAGCAAGTCTAATAGTATGCCTAGAATGAGAACCACAACATGGTGAATAAAAAACGGTAATAAAATGAAACTCATTTTGGTGGACTCACCACAGGGTGAACACAGTGGCATGCAGGTATGAGCCAAACACAGTCGTGTAGGTAAATTCTGGTTGTGCAATCTCCGTCGCACTATGTCAACTGTCGAGACACACGGGCTATGTCTCGTAATGTAGGTGGGTTAGGGCAATGTTAAGGCGCTTTTTAAACACAGACAAAGTGGGACGGAAACAACGTAATTTAGGAGGGCATTCCATGGCTGGCACACTCGAAGAGTGTAAAAGTTCCGGCGACATTCTAGCTGACTGTACTGCGTGGATAACTTCAAATAGTGGCCCCTCAAATTCGTGTTGTGGCTCAGTTGTAGTAGGTGGCGGTAGATGTGTTTGGGGCTCCTTAGAATCTGTTAGACCATAATAAGGTCACCATTTAGGCGCCGGTACCCGCTACTGCATAATTTTGGGGCCCTTAGTCTAAGTTAATAAGAAGATTGAACAAGTCTTTGACAGGCTTCGTGGCTCATCGCTGTGGAGTCTCGAGCGCTGCAAGGTCCATCTTGTGTCAGGACTGCCAGGCCTGGATTGCGTATTTCACATGAGGCCTCGTAGTTGTTAGGCAAATGCTAACAAACATAGGGATCAAACCACCCAAATGCCCTCCGCAGCATGTCAACGTCTCGGTTGCCAGACTTTGACGCCATCTCAGGTTGTTCTGAGCAGCCCAGATCAGCCTGGACTAGTACCCCAAGATCGCGCTCTTCGATGACTGCTTGCGGGACATGGTCTCCAAGCTTGCATATGACGTTCGGCTGGTGGCCAATGTGAACCAACTTACACTTCCCCGAATTGATCTGGAGCAAATTGTGGAGTGACCACCCATACGCTTTGTCCAGGTCTCGCTAAAGTGCCTCGTGATCTAGTTGGTCGGCGATCGCCCGCCACATATTGACATCATCAGCGAACAGTAAGAAATCCGAGGCAATCAAACATGGCTTTTTATTGAACGACGCACTGCTTGTATCATACCTATTCCAACTGAACCCCTACGCAAACCAATCACACATCTCTTCCACTTTTCTGCTAAGCGATCCATGACGAATTTCACAGTCGGATACAGCCATTTCCGTGACAATGGCCAGAGAGCAATTTGGGTAGAGCCCATGACGAGAATGCATGGTCACATAACTAACTGCACTTTCGTCGACCACCAACACGGAACAATTCTTGTAGACAACTCACAGGATTTGGTGAGTGGAGAGTGGTTTCGATCCGCTCCTGTCAAGTACGTGATCAGAAATTCAAAGTTTATGAACAACTGCGGCCCCAACGTGCTCAATCTGCGTCTTACCGAGATTTCTGAGTTACAACGCATGGATGTGATCTTTAACATATTTCTCCATAACAGGTAGGTTTCTTCTCGGGCAAACTTTACTGATGAAGCATATAATTCGTCCGATTTGATGTCGTGTTGTCACTGCGATTCACCCCTGCTATGCTTACCTTTTCAAGGGTCACGACGCTTTTCAGTGGTCTAAATCCACGGTCTTCTGCAGCCGCGGTGGTGATTATAGGCTCATCGAATATCATTGTTCAGCGCAACCACTTTTGGAACCCCGCATCTAACATGTAAGTTATAATAGAAGGTGCTCACCCTGTTGCTGGTTTCGTTTCCTTAATTCCATTAACACTTCATTGCCCTTGGCGGTTACCAAAATGGTTTCACCATCCAACCTATACTTTCACTGCGCCAAGCGATTGTGGGAAATTGAAAACAACCGGTTTGTACCGGATAGCGTATGATGCCTTCCACTAAGGCTTGTGACACACCGCAACAGTGTTATCAACGGCGAAAATTTACAAGGCGCGGACGCTACTTGTTTGCCACCGCCACGCGATTACTATGTGGTTCATCGTATCCATAGGTGAACCGTGAATATGCGCAATATGCCGTGCATTTTTTTTGCTCAAAGCTCAACCATTTCGAATGATGTACACGACCTACTGATGCGGACAGTGCGACTGAGAGAGTAGATTGCAGTAGCAACAGATGGGTGTCGACGACGACTAATGCACAACCTGTACGCATGGTCTACGGGTGAAGACAGCAGACGGTTGCTCGCACTCAGCGACGCCCCTCCCACGCTATTTGGAATTCAGCTAGGTTAGACACCTGGTCATTTTATGTATCGCTTATCGACTACGCTTGATGGTCAGTTTATGAACCCGCCTTTGGCAGTGTAGTTCGTTATCAATTGGATCGCGACCCATTAACCATAATTCTAATGTAGAAGACAAATTTCTTTCCATTTTACTGTCATCTGCGTGGTATTACTTACCAAGCCCAAATTCGTTCTTCATTTAGCGAGGTTGCCAGTGATTTATCGGCTCCGGATAAGCGAATCAACGTTACGCTGAACTACTGGGGCAGTCTGTTGGACTGGAACGCCACCGATTGGAGTTACATTCACAAAGCAGTTCATATGAAATTGTTTGATCAGAATCACAGGTACGTATTCTCATGTTGCTATGGTTCATCCTCAGTGTATTTAATGCTGGACAACCCTATTTCAAGTGTTTCGAGACTATTCAATTAGGCTCTGATAATCACTTCATTTCCCCCTCAAAACCACTAGTTGTCTATATTAGTTAATAGACACCGAAGCTAAGTAACGACTGGGTACACAGTTGTACCCCAGCGGCAAATCACATACTCCACAATAATTACTGGGACGAAATGGTCTACGCAAGTTAAGAACAACCTGTACGGGCAAGTCGGCTGTTTGAGAAGCGCATAGCACAGGGGTGGCACACCTTACTATTGGTTGCAAAGCAACATCACTGTATCCTCCACGAAACCATGAAGATACCAAATGGCTGCACTACTCACCTCAATATATATGACGATTTTTATAACATTGTGATGTATAGTAAGCATGCTCGTGGCATGACTTCTGGGTATTATACTATACACACCTGTCATTGATACTGCATAGTAATAGCAATGAACAACCTAAGAGTTGGACTGAGAAGTGAATTTGTCGCTAAACAGATGTTTATACTTATTGGTTGGGCTGTATCGTTAACTTCTAGTACTCACATTGCAAGACTCGTTGCCCCATGTAGATGGGCAATCATTATTTTTGTTGTTGTTGCTGCTGCTACTGTTGCTGTATTTGTTAGTGTCATCGCCAGCGTCGTTGTTGTTGTTGTTGTTGTTGTTGTTGCTGCTGCTGCTGCTGCTGCTGCTGCTGATGATGATGATGATGATGATGATGATGCTGTCGTTATGGTTGTCGGTATTAGCTGTTGTTACTGCTGTTGTTGTTGCTACTGCAACGGTTGTTGTTATTATTGGTAAATGAATGCTCCCACAAAGTCTGGTGGTTTGTTTTTTTGGAGGCGAAATTGCAGTTAGCATCACTTATTCCTGATAAAGTATTTGAGGTCGTTTAGTGTGTCAACAGACCGCATTCCAACAACACTACTACAAACGTTTGAAAAAGCTGTCTGCGCCTTACCATATTATAACACATGTCAAAATACAATACCATTGCTATGGGGCCGGCAGTGGATCATCCCAATGTGAGTCTTTCTGCCAGCGTAGATCTTGTGTTGCACCCAATGAGCATACAATGAATTCCGTCGAAACTCGTGAGAGTTTGAGAGAACACAGTGCCTCATCAAGTGGGTCCTGTAAGACCTCTCTCCAAAATTCTTCCTTAGTAGCAGCCCTTTTAGTTCTACATAAATAACATGTTCAGCACTATGCTAGTACGTCTGTGTGTGTTGTGATCAGCCAGTCGCAGTTGTATAAGCTCCTTAAAAGATAAGTGCAGGGTTAAACATTTGTGAGGAATTGACTACAGTGCGGATCACTCAATACGCCCATATACATCCAAGGAATTGTCGAAAGTCCAGTTCTTCCTATGGGATTATTCAACGATGAACACCGATCGCGCAATTCTTAGGGCTCAGTCTCACTCAAGGAGATGAGACTTAAGCCACTAGTCTACGGGTAACTGGAAGACCGTTGTGATAATAACTTTTTTAGCAACATAGCACAGTTAGCAGTGACATAGAATGAATGGTGCTTTAATTAGGGGCCATCCGCATCCTACGTGCAGAGGTGATGTGCGCTGCAGGCATTGGGGGAACCACATGACATCGCAAGTGGTAATTATTCGTGGCATTCCACCGCCGCAATTCATGACTCAACAGCTAGAATAACTTGCTCATGAACGGATGAATGTAAATTCTAATCATACGGGGCTTGACATATGGGATTTTCTTGGTAGTCCCATTAGGGCAAATCTGCATAACGGTGCTTCAGTTAAATACGTAGCTACTACCTTACGGGAATCTATCGCGATGCATCATAAAACGTCCGCATCAATAACCGGAAGCTTAAAAATCGTTAACACTGCCCACTTGCATTCCAGGCTTGTAGTCGCCTCCATAGAGAGATATTCACTTGAAGACATAATACACACAAACTAGACCCAGTGCTGTAAGCATATGAACCCACCAAAAGTATAAGTACGGTGCTGGAAACGTCCAATGATGGCTGATTAATGGCCTTCATCTAAAAATGTAGGTGAAAGGTGTGGCACACCTTACGTATTGTAGCTGTACCGGTATTTCACATGCCTTGCGTTTTGCACAAATCGAAGGCGCCTCAGGAACTTTCCGTTTACCATCTATAGCATAACCGAACGGTCGGTACTAGGAGCCATTCCTTAATGTTGGATAACAACAAGCAGTCAAGGAAGATCGGTTCGATTCAAGTAAATTTCCTACTTGTACACTGGGATTAAGACTCCGTTGCTTTGAAAGCCGTACCGTATACTACCGTGTATAAACCTGTAGGACTAGTCTATACTAGTCCGAGAGTGTTCTCGCTCTGGTGGAGATACCAAAAACCAGAAGAACGGTCACAACGGATTGTATTCGAGAAAGGCTACAATCGAACGAAAAAACGGATGAAGCGACGACAGCGTACGTCAGTGTCGGAACTCACGGTGGACACACGAAATGAGCCGGATGTAGGTAAGAATGACCGTAGCGTCGGAACATTGCAAAAAGGCATGACAGACTTTATAGGCTCACATGTCCAAATGCCACACAATGGTATTAAAATTACTCGAATCCTACGAAACTAGAATCCGAGTCAGAATCTCCAAACAGTTTCTGGAACTGGTCGTCTGTCATTGGGACCTCAGGGTGAATATGGTCATCTTTGACTTCACCGCATTCCGTCATTGTCGTATTCCTCAAAAATGGCATCATCCTCACTTCCATCCATAACATTACTGGTGCAGCAATTTTATTGATCATACGATAATTCCTGATGCAATATCCAGGCACGCTTCCTTCACTCACCCTGCGATTTTAACAGTGATAACATTTTTCACATTTCCACCCTTCATCCAAGCTAAATCAGACGATGCCATCCATTCAATCCACCTGACCCGAAGCCTATCTTCAGAGGGCTTATTGAGACAGACATGCAGTGGCTGCAAGATGGATGTAAATCCACTAAGAATTAAAACCATGGACACTACTTCAGTCCAAAGTATCGTTTCTCCACCTTCTCAGTTCGGTGTGCCCTAAAGTAATCCCAAAGCAGCATAGATGGTTTCTTTAAAAGCATACCGCTTCGCTTTCCCAAAACTGTATTCAGCCAGTCTAAAGTGCCACTCTCGTCCATCCATCCTTTCGCGTGAGCCCGCACGGACATGCCGCTTGGGAACTACGCTCCTGTAGGCAGCGTCTTACGCTTAAAAATAATGAGAGTTGATAGACCGGAACCATCCTTCATACGCCTTAAAACAACTGTGAACCGTGTCTTCTCGTTTTTCGTCGTCTTCCCCAAAACTGTGTTGACACCTTGCTGCTCCACCGTGCAATTTCAAGGCATATCAAAGCACACAGGCGTCTCGTCCATATTTCCTATTTGGGACGGTTAAAAGTCGTATTGCTTTCTCAGCTGAATCACGAACCTTTGAAACGATTCAACTTTACTGTTCAATTCCTTCGTCATTTTCTGGGCTGGTTTAGTGCGGGTCCATAGACGCATATCGAATCAATTAATAAATAATAAATAATAACAAAACGTTGCACCATTCGGAGGAAGCAACAAAATTCACCAGTTTTGATGACTAGAATTCCGGACTTTTTAATACTGTGAGCGCCCTGATCCGAATGTTCGTTCGAGTAACAACTAACCTGTGGTGCCTTGACTCTATAACCCACTGCGCTAACTTTCCCTCCAGTACAGGACACACGGTTGTTTTACCACGCGCTGCTCTCTTGCCTACAGGTATTAGTGACAATTCTGACTTTTCCTTTCGCCATTCTCTCACTTGGTTTTCATTCACCATGAAATGGCGTGCAGCCATACAGTTATTAGGTTACCCGGCAAACACGATAACTTCCAATGTAAAGCCAGCAGCATATGCACATCGCCTCTGTCCAGACTTTTTTCACTTTTCCACGGCTTTGGAAGATCGCACAAAATGTGGACACATTCCATCTCAACTGGATCGTGTGACGTCGCGTTAGCGCTATTTTGGTTAGCGATTCACAGCGCTTATACATTATGCTATGCTAGTCAATCTGGCGCATTAAAAGTACAACGTCGTCCCACACCAATGATCATGAGCTTCACTGTCACCCGCTGCTCCACTGCGATTCGGAGGCGTGAGGCCCCTGACTATGCGAGGCGGTATCTGACATAACCCTTCAACTTAGCCCATATTGTCGGCTATCTTACCTGTTTCGTGTGACTTGACATCTAATCAATACACTGTCCAATGCGGTTACAATCTTTGTTCTGACGGCTCTCAGCCGCATGGACTACGATCACAACACATTAGGTCGCCAGAACTGATCAATAGTAGAACAGCTTTCGCTTGAGCACACTCAAGTGAGAGTGTTGACGTCGAAATCGTGAAGAGACAATTTCGTTTCGCATTTTGCTGCTTTTAGGGGTCGGCTAATATACGAACTTACGATTTTGGACAAATTTGATGTTTTAAAGTCATACTGTCGGCTTACACACGGTAATATACAGTACGTACACTTGGTGGTGTTTCACAATATGTACATCAACAAGTCATATTCTTCCTTCCCTTTACTGGTTTTCTGCTGTAGGTATACTTTAGCCCGTATCGAATACCACCCCGTACTCAAGGATCCTGATCTACATAGCTACTTTACCTCCGCAAACGAACCCCCATATGTACCGGAATTCATCCAGTTTGAACCTGGCTCCCACCAAGTCCGCATAGGAGGGCGGATCGCTGTAGAACGAGCACGTCGAGTGGAACTGGCTCCTCTGGCCGATCCAAAAGACTACTATCATGTGATCAGCGATATCTTCGTCCCTCCCGGTGGTGTGCTAGCTGTACAACCCGGGGCTCGACTGTTATTCGAACCCGGTGTGGGGCTGTTCTCGCAGGTAATTATTAATGTTCCAAGCTCTCAGTTTCACCCAAGCCCAACTATATCGCTTACTTTGGAAAACACAGTTCGTAAGTACATATAACTACAACAGGCTAGGTGTGAGTAAGTATTGTGTTACTCCATTTAAAAACACCCTTACTGCGGGCTCTCAGAATGCTATAGATTCTCGTTGCCTACCAAACCATCGCATGATAGGCAACAGTGGCTCCATTTCAATATTTGCTCTACCCCAACGTCACAGCAGAGGAAGGGAGCACGATTCAAGATGACGCCCAACGTGTTCGATCCACCAGCGTTGAGACAAGAGTTGTAAGTTGATGTGTTAGGTCCTAAGTGAGACAAACTCGATCTGCACTATCCGAGGGAGAATGAACAATCTCCATAGGCGAGCAAATGATATTTCCAGCATATGTTAAAGTGCGCCACTTATTTCAGCTCCTTTGTGCGGCGCAACGAAGAGCTTATTAGCTTGGGTTCTACCACAATCGCCCTTTCTGTCATGTGCGTATTGTTGACCATTGACCAGGTGTTCATTTTCGATTATCTATTCACATTTTGGGTACCAGTGACCAGTACATCATAAACAAGTCCCTCTTTTAATTTGTCGCCACTTTGCAGGGCGAACTTCAGCTAATGGGAACGGAGGGGGCACCAATTAATATGGAATTGTGGGGACCTGAGATGGCCAATCATAGTAATCTCTTCCCGAATTTCACAAAAATCCCCATTACGACAGAACAGGCCCAGGCACATCTTTCCGCATTTGGAAATCGAACTGTTCGGCTTACCGGAGGACACTGGAACTCACACAGTTTTGTGGGTCGTCTGGAAATTGCGCTGCCGTTGAAGGTTAACGTGAACCGAACCGGAATCCATCAATCAGGAGAGTTGGTTTGGGGTACCGTATGTTCTGAAGGCTTCGGACCACATGCCGCTATGCTCGCTTGCTCAGCGCTCGGTCTGGCTGCTCATCCAAAAGTAATCTCTCATTATTTTGTCAAATATGGCGGTCCATATTTTACCAGTTTGTGTGAATTAGCTCAACTCTGTGCTGCTTTCTATCTAAATATCTTTTAAAAACCTTGTTCTTTGATATACAACTCAATCCCTATTCGTGCGGTCGCGTACCTCCGTGTTCTTCCTGCACTTCATAAGTGTAGCAGGCATCCAAGCGTCGCAAGTAGATCTGAGCTGCCACATGCTTATAAATGCGCCAGATGAGCGTTCCCTCCGTCCGTGACTCCTCTGTAGTGCAGATTCCCCTATTCTAGTGAGGGTTCATAATCCCATCCCATTAACGCAACTAACAGTTTTCACAGCTAAGCCAGAATAACTGACCAGTGTAACTGACCTGCCATATTTTGGTTCATTATCCAATACCTAGTTTTTCACTACGATCCTCAGCAAATTCTTATCACCCGGCGCAATTTCTCTCTTTTCTAAGCGGTCGGGTAATATGTGGTATTTAAACTAGCTCTGGTTTCGTTGATCAAGATTAATGCAAGCAGAGCTTTTTAATTACTAATTACTTTGGAAGTATGCGTGTGCTGCCAACGAGTCCCAGAAGGACATGCCCGTGTCCCAACCTTGACTTGAAAATTGGTGGCCTGCTAACTGGATGATGAATTCCACGCACATCATGTCACCCCCCATCAAACATAAACATTTTGTATGATCGAACGAAGACGGAAGACAACTCCAACGCCAGTTAGGTAGGCCAGTGAACCAACTGTATACACCGGTGTGCCGTGATTATGTGTTCTCGGCTAGTCTCTTTAATATTCTACGCAATTATTGGCTATGGTACATGGCATGGTACATGATGCGTATCCAGTGCCCCCGCTTATTCAGATTGGTCAACAGGCCGGCGTGGCGCATACCCTGGAGTCTCTCACCATTGACTGTTGCTGCGTCTCCGAAACCCGATTGCCGGATCCCAACAGTTTACTCAGGCCGACGTCCCATTCTTATCGCGAAACCGCATAACATCTGCAGAAGCAGCTGCAGCAGGTTTTGTTGGCGTTGGGGTAGCACTAAGTAAGAAAGCTGAAGCTGCGTTGCTTGACTGGTTCCCAGTTACTAGTCGGCTATGCGCAGTTTGGGTTCAGGGATCCTGTCGTGTTAACAGGCAGCGCAATGAAATACGCAACTTGTTAGTCATTTCTACCTACGCCCAAAATGACTACAGCCGTGGCCCCACCAAGGACGAGTTTTACCGTGGACTACAGCTACTTTTGAGTAAAGTGAACAAGTCGGATGTCGTCGTACTTGCTGGCGATTTTCTATGCGCTGGTCGGCCGCGTGCTTCTACATGGACACCACCTTGAGGCTATCACGCGCTTAACGAGAGACACTCAGATAACTAAGGCCGACTTCTCACATTGTGGGAGGACAACCACCTGTTTCTCTCAAGCACCAAATTCAGGCATAACAAGATAAGTTCTGCAACCTGGAGCTCTCCGTCATCAACAGTGCTGGTTCTAGTTCGGCCACAACCAAAGCCGTTTTCATTAGCTAGCTAGTATACAGGACTGCAGATCATTCCGTTCGACCTAAATTAACTCAAATCACGCGCCGGTTTGTGTCGACATTTGCATGTGCTTCGGTGGGCCCCGGTAACAACTGCAGCGTAAGATTCACACAAACAAGTTGGTTGACCCCTCCGTCGAACTGAGCTATCGAGCTGCCCTATCGGATGCTTTCACCTGTCGTCCACGCCAGGATGTTGATCAACATTGGGATTGTTTGCACAAAACGCTTCTTTCCTCTGTTCAGTCCATCTGTGGTCACGCGCAACACCCTTAGAAAACTTGGATCTCCGCTCGCTCGCTGGAAATGTTTGACCACCGTCAGAATGTGCCACCAGCGTCAGCTCATAATCCTATGCGCCACACTCACAGTCGGCAACTCAAACAAAGCTTGTGTAACGATCGCTAGGCTTGGTGGTCTCAGCGGGCCTCGGTGATGGAGACCACTGCTCTGGCAATTTCCGCAAACCCCTCATTCACCGGCCCCAAAGGTCCTGGTGTCAGCGAGACTACCAGCGAAGCAGACGGGTCACGAATTCCTAACCTATGAAGACGCATAGTGCGTTAGACCAAACATTTTCACTCCTAATTCAATCACCTACCATTGTCCAACTGTACGCCAAGTACATGCAATTGCACGCCTTAGGTCATTTCACTGAAGCCACTTAATGAAGCGGCCTTCAACGAAATTCGACACCTCAGGAGATTTAAGTCTCCCGGCTCGGACAAACTTCCTCTGGAGAGGTTCAGGTTTGGCGGTCCAGCACTTGTCAAGCAGTTTACATCACTGTCTTCCGAGATACAGCACGAAGAGAAGGTTCCATTCTCCTGGGGTGATTCGGTAATTGTCCTTGTTTCAACTAAGGTGCTCACACAACATGTGCCACTCACAGGGAAATCAGTCTCATGCCGGTTGCTTCAAAACTGCTGGCATCCATTCTGCTCCGTAGACTATCCCTAATCCGCGAGTTACTTTACCGCAAAGAACAAGCTGGCTTTCACCCCAGTCGATGATAGGTGGACTAGGCCTTCACGCTACGCCAAATCCTTGAACACCGCCATCTTTACCACAGGCCCACCAGTGTCTTCTTCCTGGACATTAGAACTTCATTTGAATCGGTTGATCGTCCTGCTTTATGGCAGATTGTCAAAAGACTGAGTCCCCGAAAGCTACACTTCCATCATTCGGGTGCCTTATTTCCAAGTGTCAAGTAGAGTCCCGGTCTAAGTCAAGCTTTCCTCACCCTTCGCTATCACTTGTCGTGTGCGATTGGGATGCTATTTGTTCCCATTCCTCTTCAAGCTTGCGATTGAACACGTCCTGCTGAAACCACAGGAAGGCTCCGAAGACCTTGGTGTTGAGCTTCTTTCTGGCAATCGTGTGACAGACTTAGGTTATGCTGTTGATCTCGCTCTGCTCGGTGACGATTCACATAGTTTACAGCCCATTTCTAACCGTCTGGCAATTGAAACGTCTACTTGTGCGTTTTCTTCACTGATGGCAACAGCAATTCATGAGTTCAGTTGATGATTGCAACTTCGATGGCAAAAATGTGCTCTGCGTGGCGGAAATCGGATATCGTGTACTTCTCAATGTAGTAATTCCACCTTTAAAAGCAGCACTAAGAATACCTTTTCTTAAGTACGGTAAGTACCGGATCTCTTATCTCGCTGATTTGGCTGTGCTTTCGGATGTATCACCGTGGATAGCCATTTGCAATTATCGTGCCAGTAAGCAACTCCAATTCCTGGGAAGCAACATTTTCTGGGCACAGAAGCAACGATTCCCTTAATAACTCAACCGGTATTGGTAAGAACCGTCTGGAACTTTCTACCAATTTGCAAATGTACTTACGGTCTGATGCGGCGGCACGTTAGAAGACAGGGACTGCACATCTAAAGAACACATCATCTTATCGAACCAATTCGTTGTATCGAGAACTACGACAAGCTCAAAAGAAACTATGAAGTAAGGTAGACTGAACTGAACTCTTAGTGAAGAAATCTCATTCAGAAACCAGAGAACTAGTTTAATATCTGTGCTCGCGGAATAAAACCTTTTTCATCTGAAGCGAGATTTATTAAAGCTAGCCTAAGTGCCAGGAGCCCAACTCCAACTTTTCGTTTCATATACATAGACATTCATTCATTCATTTTACATGCTAGCTGGAGATGTATAACGCTTCAGCTACTATGCCACAAAACATTAAGGAAAAAGAAATTAAATGCAAAGTTGCATGCCAGCTGAGCTACCAGCAACGGATGAGTATCGTTCCGGAAAGCTACCAGCCGGCTACTAGGCAACAAGAAAATTAGTATATAATATTATGTTATGCTACGAAATGAGATCGTAGTTGCAGGGGAGGCTAAAATGGATGGGGTGAGACAAAAGACTCACAGCATGAAGGCCACTGAGGTCAGCTCCTAGCTATGTCAATAAGTGTATATAACCAAATGTGTTCATTGGCTTTTGGACCCCAACTAGGGGATCGTGACGCGCCAACCGAGGCCAGCTCCGAAGTGAGAGCCTTCATTCCTCTCGACCAAGTCACTGCTTGGCCACCTCACCTCTTCTTCTATCTGCACCCCCGGGCGAGCAAACAACGCACGTCGCGGGAGTCGGTGGGCTGGCATTTGTAACACGTGACCTAGCCATCGGAGCCTGGTGCGTGCAATGACGGTGCTGAACGGTTCAGTTCCTTTTCCTGTGTCGTAAATAAGACGTGGAACACGCTCGTTGCTTACTCAGTGTTCCCAGGAGATATGAGCCGAACTGCGAAGGCACCGATGGTCGAATGTAACTAGCCTCTTCATGTCTGTCGATCTTAGGGGCAAGGTTTCGCAACCGTTCAGTAAGGTCGAAGGTACCGCTGCATGGTACACTCTACCCTTCAGGGCGATAGGGATGTAGCGCCGCCGCCATGGGTGACGAAGACTAGTAAAGCACGGGCTTCTGCTATTCGGTTCGTGACTTTATCCTCGATCCCAGGGGCGCTGATACAACTTCTCAGGTAGTTGCATTTCTGAAGGACTTCTAGCTTATCCTCACCAAGGTTCAATGCAAGAGGCGATCACTGCCAACCTTGGAGGAAGGCTTTGCACTTCGATGGTGCAAAGCAAAGCCCGAAGCGGCTGACAGTAAGTGCTGATCTGTCCAGCGCGGCTTGGCACGTCTGGGAGCTATCACAGATGAGGGCAATGTCGTCTGCATACTCCAAGTCAAGAAGTCCTTCTCCTGAGAGTAGCTCCACACCTTCCAAGTCATGTCCTGTAAATGCAATCTCCATGACTTCGTCAATAACGAAGTTGAAAAGGAATGGTGACAGCGGGCATCCTTGTCTCACACTGCTGGAGATAGTAAAGGGCAACGACAACTTGCCGTAAACCCTCATTCTGCCTGCACTACGCGCGGATAAGGCTCAGACAATATGTAGATATTTACCGGCCACA